CTAAATTTACCGTCAACCGGGGCTACTCGGGACGGTTTTGAGCGTTTTTTGTTAATAACTTCTTACCATGAAACATTTCATCGACAAGTTTAGGCTTGTTTTATAGCTATTTGCAAGAGCTATCAAATGGCATAGTCAAAAAATTCCATATGCTATTCCTAAGGTGCCAGATGCAAAAAAAAAGCATGTCCTGTCAAACGGACGGGGCTACTCGGGACACTTGCAATAAAACTTCATTTTAAAACATTTGAAGCATGCAGAGTGTACTCATCCATTACTAACAGTACTCTGAAGTCCTCCTCTTTCATTGTAGATGATGTAGAGGTAGAATAAATGACATTTTCAGTGATTTTTACTTGTTTTTCCTTTATTGATGATATTACCATAAACATTAATTACCGTCAATTGGGGTGACTTTGGCCCCATTTTTTATTTTGTTTTGCAAACAAAAACGGGGTCGTAAACGCCATGGTTATAAACGCCAGGGTCGTAAACAAGGTCATAAACGCCTGAGTGACTGGCCATCCTTTATGGCCCCACTTTTGTTTGCATAACAAAACCAAAAACACAGCCAAAGTCACCCCAGTTTACAGTACCATATTATTGATGTGATATTACTGTATTATTGATGTGAACATACCTGAAACAGAAAGGAATGTTTTAGTGACAACCATCATATATTTTGGAGAAATAAATCATAGTTTAGGTCAATTACTTTTCATTCTATGATGCCCGGTGCACAATTATATATATATAGCATTCTATGTACAATTTTGTGATGACCGATGATGCACTAATTTTTTGATGAGTGAAATTTTTTTCGCCGAGCAAGGTAAATGTAATCAATATTCTTTGTTTTTAATCCATTTTTTTCTTAACTGGACCCTTTGCTTACTGAGGTTCTACTGTAAATGCGTTTTTTGGGGTGTCCCGAATAGCCCCGGAGGGGTGTCCCAAGTAGCCCCGCCATGCGGAAATGGCCGCCATTTTTTGGGGGGAATGAGATAGGACAATTCCGTCAATTACGTTTTCAAGCCAACACCTGGGTGCATCTTTTGTGTAAGTAAAATTTTTTAATACGGCAAATATTTTTTTGGGTACAGACCTTAGCAGAAGTAACTTTTCAAAATAGCGTTTTTCATCATTTTTTTCAGGAATTTTTCAAAGCTACCGGTAGTAAATGTAGTATTTTTCAACTTCCTTTATGCTACATAGATAGGAAAAATGTTAACATTTACGCCACTATATTTAGTTTTGCAATATTCCAATTAGTTTTGCTACTATAACAGTTTTACACCGTGTCGGAGGACTGTCCCGAGTAGCCCCGTTTGACGGTAGTGTGTGGAATTTCTTTCAGAGATGCCATACAGTAAAATGGGGTAACTTTGACCACTTTTTTTTCAAAATGATGACATTTTTTTACTAGATAAGTTAAACTTAAATTGAAAAATGCAAAATACAGGTCTATACTCTGGCTTTACTCATCATAAATTGCTGGCTCCTGCCTCTCATAGTTTTGATGTAATTTCAAAAAAAGTGATGGTCTTTGTTACCCCAGCTCTTGGGGTTTCTTTGACCGGGTGGTAAAATCAATTTTATTTTTTGGTAAAATAACTCCAAATAACTCCAGGTTGTGGTGCATTGTAGTAGAACTCTTCTAGTTACATATACAAAAGACAAATTTTAGGAAAGTGTCATAGTTTGCAAATGGGGGGTGCCACCCCCAAATGGGCAAAATGTGACAATCTAATGGCAGCCGTGACGGGGTAACATTGACCGGTTTGGAAATTAAGTTAAAATTACCATATATTAGACTCAGTAGAGTCTGAAAAATGAAGAAAAAAACATTAATAGGTGTATCAAACATAAAATATGTTATATAGGTACCTATGGTAATTTTAACTTAATTTCCAAGCCGGTCAATGTTACCCCATCACGGCTGCCATTAGGTGGTCAAAGTTACCCCATTGGGGGGCAGTGCCCCCCATTTGCAAACTATGACTTTTTCCTAAAATTTTTCTTTTGCATATGTAACTAGAAGAGTTCTACAATGCATCAAAACCTGGAGTTATTTTACCAAAAAATAAAAAAATTGGAGGGGGTACTCCGACAGGCTTTAAATAATAGCTCTTTTTTTGTGGGTCACATTTTTAATTTTTTAACCTATTAGATATGCAAACTTTTTAAATCTTTCTATTGTGTTACGTAGCCTCAGTATTAGGCCTTTGATGGCCATTGACAAAATTTTTCTATGTTGAATCATTTTTGAGTTTTGGGGGTTTTTGTCAAAAAAACGATAAGTGGTCAAAGTTACCCTGCCAGTCAAAGTAACCCCATTTTACAGTACAATAGCCTTTGCAAAGACCTTTAAATTGAGCCCAAATTTTTATGAAATGTTTCATGGTAAGAAGTTATTAAAAGAATGCTCAATACTAATGTGTTGGTTGGATACTAATGTGTTGGTTAGGCTTTGATAGCAATGAGGATGCCAATGCTGTGGTTGGGTTTTAAAAGCAATTACAATACCTGTAACTGCAAGATTAAGATTAGGCTTAGAGAAGGTCAATATATTGATGTTACTAAATGTAGTTCAACACAAGAGTGATGTACCAAATTTTTTGCAAGTTGGCAGCACGATCATGTATATGCAGTGGAGGAAAAAGTAGTCTCCTGCAAAACTTTTTTTTATGACTTTGAGTTAGAGAAAGCAGAGTGGCATTGGTTCTGCATTAAGGCTTCCAAAGAAGGCACAACTACAAAAATTGGGCTCTACAAAAATGGGGCAAATAGCACAAGAAATATCAGATTAGTTCATCTAATTTAAGTAATAAATAATTCCCTTTCCATCTAATTGCACATAGACAAAGACCACTCCAATAAGGTAGCTATGAAATATGAAATTGTATGAGCAGGTGTTTAGATTAATGGCCCCCAATGGTGTCTTGATACATCATTACTCGCAATAACAACTCTAATCTTCACTCAATAACATGAACTTGCTATCACCTATTGTGAAATCATACACACAGTAACAGACAATACCGTCAACCGGGGCTACTCGGGACGGTTTTGAGCGTTTTTTGTTAATAACTTCTTATGATGAAACATTTCATAAACAAGTTTAGGCTCATTTTATAGCTCTTTGCGAGGGCTATCGAATGGCATCTTCAAAAAAATTCCATATGCTATTCGTAAGGTGCCAGAAGCAAAAAAAGAGTGTCCCGAGTATCCCGGTCGAACGGGGCTACTCAGGACACTGGGAATAAAACTTCATTTTAAAATATTTGAAGCATGCAGAGCTTACAGTACTCTAACAGTACTCTGAAGTCCTCCTCTTTCATTGTAGACAATGTAGAGGTAGAATAAATGACATTTTCTGTGACTTTTACTAGTTTTTCCTTCATTGATATGATATTACCATAAACATTAATTACCGTCAACTGGGGTGACTTCCCCTGTGTTTTTGATTCATGCTGGGGTCGTAAACGCGGGGTCATAAACGCCGGGGTCATAAACGCCAGGGTTGTAAACCAGGTCATAAACGCCTGAGTGACTTTGGCCACTGTTTATGACCCTTTATTACCCTACTTTGGCCATCATTATGAACAGGCCCCAGTGATGGCCAATCACCCAGTTGACGGTACCTATTATTGATGGGATGTTACTGTATTATTGATGTGATATTATGGTATCCATGAACATGCCATTGAGCATTTACAACAACCTTGTCCACTGCAAGCTTCATATCAACAGCATCATAGCATTTTTTCTGTATCTGTAAGCTTACAGGACGGCTTGTAATTTGTGAGACAATAAGTGAACTTTTTTTTAGTAAAATTTTTTAATACGGCAAATATTTTTTTTGCTACAGACCTTAGCAGAAGTAACTTTTCAAAATAGCGTTTTTCACCATTTTTTTCAGGAATTTTTCAAAGCTAGTAAATGTCGTATTTTTCGACTTCCTTTATACTACATAGATAGGAAAAATGTTGTTTAGGCCACTATATTTAGTTTAGCAATATTACAATTAGTTTCACTACTATGACTGTTTTACGACGTGTCAGAGGTGCGTCCCGAGTTGCCCCGCCAGTCCCGAGTTGCCCTGGTTGACGGTACAGAAAAACACATGCAGAAAGCATAATAAGCTAAGGCAACTTCTGTCACAAGGCAGTCTCCATTTGGAGGCTGTCTGCAATAGTCTCAACTGTACAGTCCTAATTATGTCTGCAATAGTTTTGATATGGTATTACCAATTGTCAGGGAGGCAACTACCAATGTACTAATTACATGTTTAAATAAAATTAATTTATCTATAAACTATTCCAAGGCTAACTAAACTAACTTAAAATTGCCTGAAAATTTTTGGACTAGTTTCATCCACTATTCATGAGTTTTGAAATTGTGACCAAACTCAATTTTTCAGGCTAAAAATGTAGACAGTGTTATTGAGAATTTGTCACCAAAACTACTTAAACATTTAAGGTTTCTTGCCAAAAATACATACGTATAAAGAGGTATACTTGAAGAGAAATATGTGGCAAGAATTTCTAAAAATATAGATTCATGGTTGAAATCTAGTTAAATGTTCTGTTTCAGAGCACAGGCTGAAATAAATTGCTCTCCTCCCCCTCTCCCTAAATTACCAAGCATAATTTTTTTTACTAATAAAGCTAATTTTCAATGTTGTTATATGCTTTTTTTATCATAAAATCAGCAATTAAAAAATCTTTGAATCTTTCTGATGGGTCACTGTTGGTTTGAAGGATATTTTGGTGGCATAAAGGTGTTAACAAATGTGTAAATCTATTTATACTGGAGATGATGGATTAAATCTAAAATAATGCCTGAAGATCATTCAGACAAAATTTCTCATTTTATATTTATAGATATATTTCACAATTTTGGTAATCAGCATCTTTAAAAATGAATCAAGTTGGTAACAATTGTTTCCAATACTATAAATTTTTATTTGAAATATAGGAAAAAACTGTTTTTTTCAGGCTGATTCAGCTGGAGAGGATGATGAGGGAGAGAGTGGCAGTGCTGAGTGTCTGCTACAAGATAACTTCATCCGGTCTCATACAGGTTAGGATTGTAAAATCAATGATTTGTTACCCAACAATCTCTGCAGACTTACAAATTTAATATGTATGCAATTATTTAAATAGTATTGTTATAGGTAGTTTAGCAGATGTTAAATTTTAATGCTTTTATGGGCAAGCATAGAAATATGCAGAAATTGACATTTATGAAACCAATACAAGAAAGTATGAACTATTATTAGTATATACATTTACTTGCATGTATTTTTTAAAATTTTGCATACCCTGGTATATCGGAGATGTAAAATGCACCTGAAGAAATTTATTAAATGGGATCTGTATACTCAAAATTTCTTCAAATAATTCAAATTAAAGCATTCAAATGTATAGAGTAATATATATATAGTAATATGGAGTAATAATTTGATTTAATTCACCTAAATCCATTTAACATGAAAAAGTGAATATAGATATTGCTACTTCTGTCTTCTAAGAAAGTGTAGAAAGAGTCTGACTGTGTAGAGAAAGTGTAGAGAGTCATTGTCTGAATCAAAGCTTTTATTTAAATGCTTATATTCAAATTTGTAGGCATGGTAGGGTGTGATGCAATGAATTGGATTATGGTCAGATAATTGGTGATTGACAGAGGCATGATAACATTCATTTAAATGCAAAATGGGGGCTGTGGTGGGAGGAGAATTTAAGTGACAACATATGATAACTTGCATGCGAAAGGGTTACTACGCATTTGTTGAAGACCTGAGATATTTCTAATTAAGAATTTTCTGGTTTCAAATTGGTAAAACTCTTGGTTTTATTAACACTTTGACAGCAACTCCCAAAATAGCCAGTATTCCAGTGATGCAACTCATTCAAATGTGAATAACTTTAGTTACAGGCATTACAGCAAGATGTGAGCTAGTGCACTGCACTTGTCTAAGTGAGTTCTACAAGCTTCTGACATAAAAATTATGAGCCTCTTTTGGTGCACGTCGCCTGGAATGGAAACATTCATCTTTCTAGGCAACATGCACCATATGAGGTACACAGCATTTATTATACAACTACATTACAAATTTGTATCACACGAGTATTGACACTTGAAAAAAACATTGTTTTCTGGGCAAATGGAATTGGAATGTAACTGCAATAGGTACTCTACAAATCATTCTGGGGTAAAATGCTGCTAAGTAGGAAAATTATAATTCTATTAGAATAAGATGATGTCTTACAAAATAGCTCTTAGATAAAGCATGAAGTGTTACCTACTGACAACTGTTTAAGTTGTTGGCAAAAACTACTGTAGCAAATGCCTGGGTGTTTGGTGATCAGTTCTATAGTCAATAAAAATCAATCTGAATTGCTGAAGTTGTTGATGATGACTGAATATATTGTCAATAGTAATAGGTCAGACATGCAAAGAATTGTTTCTATGACCAAATCAAAATGATTTTAGATGTCTGCATTCCAGCGCTAAAGTATTTGAAGCTGAGAATCTTAACTTCATAATGAGCTACATACTGCTGCCTGTCCTGCTGTAACATAATTGCAAAAAATATGTGTTTAAAAATTACTTTTTAAAGACAACACTTCTAAAGAATCCAGTGTCTTTGTTGTTACACATGTACAATGAATTTCTGATTTTACTTTGAAATATTAAAAAAATTTACATCGTTTAATATTTACAAATTTTCTAAATTTTCAAAATTATTTATTCTGTCAACTGATTCATGCATTGTCTCTGACTTTATGCAAGTGTGCAAAATTTCAGATTGATTGGACAGGTAGAAGTACCATGTGTCAAATATTGATTACCTACCATATAAGATTTGTAGCAGACAAAATTATTTTTACATTTTTTTAATATTGAAATTTTTTAAATTTTTGAAATTGTTTATTCCGTCAATTAATTCATGCATTGTCTTCAACTTTACGCAAGTGTTCAAAATTTAACACATTGACTACAATAGCTTCATCTTGTACTATTATTTCATTTTTTGTAGGTACTGTTTTTGAACAGGGTTGTCAGACAGTCATTTTTCTGGACAAATTCCGTGATTTAGTTTTTTTCAGTTGCATTGGCCGGCTAAAATTTATTGTGCGGGTACTTCCAAATTAAATTTTAAATACTGCAATAAAAAATAAATGGAATTGTGGAACCTACAAATAAACTAGTATATATTGAGTTATTGGCCTTTTTTGTTCTCGGATTTGGCCGATTTTAGGCAACCTGAATTATGTACCTCTACATCCTAGAGAAATACATTTCATGGTATGCATATGTACCACTTCAGAGTCAACGTGTTAAGAGAGATCGGACAGGTAGAAGTGTGTCAAAAATATGTGTCAAATATTGATTATAAGATTTGTAGCAGACAAAATAATTTTAATTTTTTTAATGTTGAAAAAAAAATAATTTTTAATTTATTTATTCTGTCATTTGATTCATGCATTGTCTCCTACTTTATGCAAGTGTGCAAAATTTCAGATTGATTAGACAGGTAGAAGTGTGTTACATATTGATTATAAGATTTGTAGCAGACAGACAAACAAACAAGAATTGAAGTTAAAGAGAAGTGTTGTAAAAAGGAAGTTAGTGCTGAAGTGAGATGGAAAGCTAGAAGAGTACCTACTAATTGCTATCCTAGTGCTGGGAATCCGTATCACTGCATATCTTGCTCTTTGCATTCTGTGTGAGCTTAGGCAACTTTTGGATGTCTAGTAGGTACCTATTTTTCTACTTCTATAATTGACACAAATACCAAAAAAATAATTTTCATCATATTGAAATAGGATAACACCCTTTATTCAATACGTTTTCTTTTTTGTACCCACTCATTATATTTCAGGCTAGATTTCAACTACTAAGATTTGTATGATTCGATTACACAACATTCATATAGGTTTTTGAAAGCATTATTGCCAATTGTCTATCATATTTTTCACAAGTTGATGATCTGGCTGATGTTTTAAAGAGCTTTTCTTAAAGTTGAATTTTTTAAGCAAGCGCCATATATGGCGCACGTCACAGTTTGGGACATGCATGCGTGTACCTACCATATATGGTGCATGTCACAGTCAAAGTGTTGAGAAATTCTAAGCTGAGGTATCCAAGGATCATTTTATTTAATTTGTATGAGAGAATATAGTAAATATACTTATATATATATTTACATACTACATGTATCCTTAGTATGCAAGGAAGTGCTTTATTAAAATTGGTTGTTACAAAATTTATTCAAATGATGATTTAAAGGCATTTCTGCAATTGTCCAGTGGTTTTGTCTTTGAACTTCAAATTTTATAAATAAAATGTTGAGAGCTGTAGGATTGTTAACTCCATCACAGAAGGACTTGAGTGAGATAATTTTTAAGAATTAATTTGCTTTCTGTATTTAAGCAATTGAATTTCTATTGGCCACTAGACTACCTGTATAAGTTCACCTCAAGGTTTAAACTGTTTTTCAGGAGTCAGTAGTGTTGGATGCGGTTCACCTAACTTATCTGAGCAAACAGCTTCCACTACAGACCTTTTGTTGAGAGGTACCTACCTACTTGAGCATAGGCTAGTTACATCAGTGCATCTATTACTTATTTTAAATGATTATTTACACATATATGGTGATGAAGGATTAAATTTTACAATTACCTGATGACCAGTTATGTACCTATGATGGTTCAGCATGTAGGTAATTACCATCTTCCATGAATCCTTACCTTCAATAAAGAATGATTTGTAATTACACTGACAGCAATTTGTTTACAAGGAATGTTCAAAACTGACAATAGTTTTGCACATCAAATTAGCATTACATAAAATTTATTGCATTGGACTTGTGTCTTTAGTGTGATGTTATGACATTCAATCAATATTTATTGCTCAATAAATTGTATGTTACAATTGATGCAAATATTTGGGAAATTTCATAGAATTTTGTCCTCCATATCTATTCAAACCCAAATTGAATGAGTTTGGACTTTTATTATTGTTTATGCTGCTCTATTTTCTATTATATACATACAAGATTTGTAAAATCCAGAGGCATCATCTGAAAATGAAATTTTAATCTTCCATATTTTAATCTTTATTATACTGTAATAATCATAGACTTTCTTATTTCATTGTGACTTATGCTACTTGTTCTTTATTTATCAGTACTTGAATGTGTACTGTACAAGAAAAGGCAAAAACTATGTATTTATATTGAAGCAAAATTATTTCAGATGCAAGTCAGGCAAGCCTAGTCAGTGACGCAGCTTCTGGAGCCATGTGCGAACGTGCCAGCAAGAGCTCCGCAGCCTCCATCGCTCTTTCTAGGAAGTCATCAAGCCCTGCTCACTATGGTCCTGCCCTCATCAGGGATAATAATCTTGATAACAGTGCAGCAAATTCACTTCATTCAAGTTGCTCTGTCATATCAAACGACAGTTCAAAAGTTATTTCAATCACTGGGATTGAAAGAACGGAATCTGATACTATAGTTCTGGGTAAATGTCCAGAAAGTGAAATCTCAGCCAGTTTAGCAATGCTACCACCGATAAAAAAGCTAAATGCTCCGCAATCAATGTCTGCTGCTTCTCAATCCAGCCTTAACAATTTGCTGGAAACGCTGAGCACAGCTTCAGGTATGTAGTTACCATCATTATATGTAAGAAGGGCGATTTATTCTGTTCACATATGAATGAAACTACGTATTCATGCTAAGTTGAACCTGATATGCTATATTCTATTGTTTGTTTATCTATGAAGATACTATTTTACTTTTCTGTTCTTGAATGTGAATGTTCCTGGCTTGTTGAAGATTAAAGTGACTCTCCAAAAGCAAGATTAATATGGTCTTTCCAACAAAACCATAAAATTTTACCCACTTAGATCTTGATTCTCAAATGATTGGTCTCAAATTTTCTCCCAATAAATATTAGACAGTATTGACTTTTTTACCTTGCAAATTTTAATTTCTCAGATAAAGTTGGCGTTCTTGATGTGAACCTAGACGACCTTCATCCGACGACTGCCACGCCTGATAGTGATATGGAAGCTATCCTCAGAAGCGGCCATACACTTGACCCTCCACTTGACCCTCCACCAGGACTACAAGAAGCTGCAGACCGAATACTCCAGACGTCAACTCAGAACCACTCATCACTAAAAGAGACGCCGCCAGACATGCCAGCAAAATCAAATGGAAAAAGTACAGGCAATGGCAAGCAAAATAGTGGGGATTATGCCACTAAAAGTGGCACGACACGCCGGGGCGAAGCAAATGGAACTGACAGGTCTGGAGAAGGTGGTGTCAAGGAGACCAGCGTTGTGTTCAGCGAGCCTAACGGTCTGGACTCGTACGTCACTCTCACTGGCACCATCAAGCGCGGCAAGAAGAAGGGCCAGAATATGGACGTCAAGGTGAGAGATATACCTCGAATTATTGTCTTTAATATATGTTACTAGGAATTATACTGGTTATTCAAGCATGAATGAGGAAGAATGATTCTTTCCTTTACATAAACTTGTGCTGTGCAGGTACAATTGTCGCGAGAACAGCTGGAGCAGCTGGAAGAATCCCTGTCTGCTACAGCTGGAGGGGCCTTGACAGGATCCGGTGCAGCTCCTGGTGGTGGAACGCAGCGCTGCTGCAGCTGCAGCAAGGGACCTCACGTGCTGCTGCTCTCACTCATAGCCGCGCCTCTTGTCTTCCTTTGGGCTTCCCTTTATTCTTTTTATCTTGGTACCATCACATGGTACAGGTAAGCTGAATTTCAATTATCCAAAACGTTCAAGGGTTCCAGCATTGGATTTGAATTTCTTATGAAAAAGCACCAACACAGCTTGAAAAATGATTAGTATTGAATTCTAATGGTAGCTCACTGCCAGCTTTTAACCTATGTTGAGGTGAACGAACTGGATCTTCCCACCTTTCGATATTGCATGCTGTATTTACACTGCTTGACGTCAGTGTTACAACACTCGAACGGTAAGGTCGCACTCCACTCCAATCCAAACAACACTGAAGTGATCAATGGTTGCACCATTGAAAAAAATTGGAAATCGATCTCATCAATTTGAATTTCAATTCAAACATATAATTACCATTTGCAACCTATTTATTATTGACTTTAAATTTGTTAAGCGAAATCATTGTCGTTTTCAGTTTGTTGGTGCGAGCCACAGAGGCGATGTGCGTGCTACGGGTGCTGCTGTCACCCCTGCTGATGCTGCTCTACCCATTCCTTATCGTGCTCCTCACACTGGGCCTAGGGCTCTACTCTGCAGTCGTGCAGGTATGTTGCTCTAAAAATGTTGCCTTAACAATTATGTAAATTATAGCGCCGAATAACTGCCTCTTACCATGCATCTCATAGATTTTTCAAGTTTAATCAGCTTGATGGTTGGAGACATTCATCCGTCGAACTATTGACTCATGGTTGACATATTCTCGTGCGCATGTAAGCACTTACCTTATACGAGAATGCCACGAATCGCTGCTCAATCCTTTCACTGTGCAAACTTCTATGGGATCTTCTGACTTGTTACCTGAGCATTATTTATGGGCCACAGAAAGTTCAATTTATCGCTAATTTGATGCCTAAATTTGATATATTAACTAAACTAAGTTTTAAACGCGTATACAATCCGTTTGTTTGAAGCCCGGTATCATGGTTACCATCATGTCATCTGTGAAGGAGAAATGGTTGAAATTCGTTTAGATGGTATTCAGGAGTTCCGTTAAGTAATATTCATAAAAAGTATTATTAGTGCCATGAAAATCTTGTTGGGTGTAATTTTCTGTCAAAAAAAAAAATGCTTGTCAGACTGTCAGTATTATAGTTTTAACCATAAAAAACATTGAATTTCTGAAGACCGGATTTCTGACCCTTCACTTTTCTGTTAGCATATCTTCTTTATTAATTTCTAAATAAAATGCTACTGCTTCTCCGTTCTCGCCGGCATGACTGCGCTAGTCATTTGAAACCTTCTGCCTTTATAGATAGTAAATGACCTTTAAAATAACCTCCCTTGCAATGCAAGGTAACCTAAATTGTTACCAAATCGAATACTTCTTAAAATTATTATACAAATTTGCAATATTATCCAATGTTCTGAAAATAGTTAATGGACTTCAATGCGTGGAGCTGTAAAGCTTTTTTTCTGTAGCCAGTAGAGTTGAGGTTTTGAGTGCTGCAGGTGTCGTGGTGCTGGCGACGGTGGGTAAGCGCTGTGGGCGACCCAGAGAAGGGATTCTACGGTTGGCTGTGCTCGCTGCTCAGCCTGGAGGACTGCGCCCCGTACGAGACAGTCGTGCTGAGCACCTTAGCCCCTGCTGCTCGTGACAGCGAGGCTGACACTGCACTCAGTGATGATCCTGTCATGCAGCTGCAAGATGCTTGTGCCATCGAGATTGAGGAAACTCCTTTCAAGGTGGCGGTTACTCAGCTGAGCGAGAGTCAAGCTGGCTCTGCAGCCGTGGGTTGAATGGCAAAGACATACGAGCTGAGAAGTTCCGTGTATACAACAATTCCGATTTTGTCGAAGGAAAGGATCATTAGTTTTTCAACGGTAAATTGCAAACTTAAATAGTCAAGGAATGAAATCTCAATAATATGTTCGTGATGAACGCATTTACTTGATTTTCGTATTGGAGCTATTGAATATTTGTACGAGATAATCTACATTCTACATCATCGGATTTATATCTTTGTGATTATGGAAAGAATTTCGGCGCATTAACCATTCTATCTATGGAGTAACTGTTTCACAACAGCCACATTGACCAATATATCCCGATCTCTTCCTTAAAGACTATATTTTTAACCAGAATTTTGTATACCCACTTACTTTTTTGCTCACTTTTATACTTTTAGAGCTAGAAGTCGTCCGAGATTTCTTATTGATTTATTTTCTGTGATACTCAAGTATAATTCGTTATAGAATCTCTGTTTATCATCTTTCTTCAGTTTGAAACATTATTCTATAGTTCCATGTAATATTAAACAATTTTAACGGAAGCGCTTAAGTTCGAAGCATCAAGTGTTAAGTTACTTGCATGCACGTTAAAATTTATTTAAGTTTTGTATAATAACAATCAATTACTACTTAAACATATTTTTAGTTTCACTCTGGGCATTGTAACTATTTGTTGTTGAACAATTCGCTGCAAACTGTTCTGTTCCATACAGTAAAAATAATGCCCGCGGTCAGGAGAGAGCTGCACGTTGTTTTGTGTCACCCGCAGGTCTGAGGGCTCAGCTAAATTTTTGTGCGCAATATTGAAGGTCGCGTGACATCCCCAATACCTGATTGGAAATGTCATATTCTCTATTCCGTAGTTATGAAAGTTCGTTTTCCGATTCGGTTCATTCGTGGTTTTCACCTGCCATCATGCGCCTTTTATTCGTCCGCACGTTTTTGACAACAGGCTTGAATATATTTATAACCTTGCCACCACACTCGGGGAAACTTCCATGGTAGTCCCTAATGTGCAAATATTAGAACATTTTCAGTCATAAATTGCGCTTTAATCCGTCGCTATGATAGGTATGCATTCCGCTATGGTTGACAACTTCAAGGATACTTACATATCCATCAATTTACTATTAACCCCGCAACAGTTCGAACCTTTTTACATTTCTCTGTAATAATTAGTCTAGAATTTTGAGTCCTGCAAACTTCTAATTTTTAGGTGAAGTTCATTTTCTAGTAATTTAAGTGTGACATTTGTTCAATGTATTGATATTTATTATTTTAAATGACTAAGATTATATTTTTACTGCATACATGATGTAATTTCTAAAAAATAACATTTATTTTCTGTTAACAAACAGCTGTTGATAGCTCATTGAAGTTCCGTCACACCATTTTAATCGCAGAATTTATGTATCACTTAATATATTTTCGTAATTCTCCCTAATTAAGGAGAATTAAGTAATGATAATTCACATAGTTCCTAATTCTCCGTGTCCCTACCAATCCGAAGGACTTGGTGTCTTGATCAGAATAACATTGAAATCTAAAAACATATGGAGATCCTCATGATATCATTTTCTCGTGAATACCGTATCCTTTAGCTCGTGTTTTGTTAGTTTCATTACGGCATCGTGGAACCTCATCGTATTGAAAGCCCTCTATGAACTGAAATGTCTTGTGTCTGTCTAATGCAATGTCTTCCGCTGTAAAATATAACCGGTCCCGCTACAATGAATCTTGCTATTCGAGAGTGAGTCAACTACTATCGAAAAGTTACTTTTCTCTTCACGCTATTAGTTGATCTAAGATCATCTGATCAGATTTATCGACGTGAACGCAGCCTAAATTTCTTGGTCTAACAATAGTACTATAGGTCTCAGCTTTAGCCGAAAATTCCTGCCTCTACGAGTTAAGTCTTCCGGCTGACGATGTCACTGTTTCACAGTAACCAACATTCCATGTAAATTGACTTTTTATTAGTTTTCTATGAGAATTTGTTTAAATTTTGATTTAATTTTAGTGAAATTCTTGTATTTGATTTGTAATATGTCGACCTAAGATCTTGGAATGTGCTGAGTTTAGTTCCAGTCCCAGTGTATGCAAGTGGACCCTGTAAATCCGAATGATCCTCTTTGTAACTAGAGTCGTATTTTGGGATGAAGTGTGCTTATTTTGAGATATCGTTATTTCGTTTAATGAAAAATTCATCCATTGTTGTACCAATCATCTTGTTCTTTAATACTCTCTGTACTCAAATTATTTCTAGTCTTTTCAAGTCGTTATTTTTATGAGGTTAGGTTTATCAATGGAGCAAATCTGCGTTCAGCATTAGGCACGCTAATTGCACCGTTTGATCTCACTAATAACACGTAATAAAGAAGCTATATAATTCATGAGATTATCGTTGTGACAAACTGGTGAATTTTAGTACGTTAGTGCATCGGAATATCGATGGTATTTTACAAACCAATGCTCGTGTACTTCTTACATTGGTACAAATTATTCTGTTCACGGGCGCAAATAAGATTGGATAAATCTTATCTTGGTAAAATGCTTGAGGAAAGCCGATTTGTGTTTCGATGAGTTATACCGGCAGCGATCCTAGTATCGACCAGTCGAAATTTCTATACTGGTCTGAATGGTTATTTTTTTCACCTGTGAGATCTCATACTCAGAACATATCAACTGTAGGTAAATTGCCCTAAACTATGCTTTGATAAGGTAAGTAATATCATTATGGCTAAGGATCTATCTGGTTTGACAAGATCGTTGCCACTCCATATCGTGGCGAAATCGTGCACAATTGCAGAGATCATTTGTTTTTATTTTTATAAGTTTAGCCATGAAGTAATACCACTATACCATCTCACCCAAGATAGTTCGTCATCATGAGCTGGGTAATTAATGCTCAAATCTTGCATTAGGCGATAAGATCGCTTTTTTTTCTTTTTTTAGGATTCTATGCTAAGAATCTCAGAAGCCAAGATATACTTTCAAGCTCTTTATGAAACAAATTAATATGTTAGCGTTATTAAACAATGAAGGTGCTCTAATCATAAGAATCTAAATTTACTTTTAACGGTTAGCATAAGCAACGGAAAATTTCAAACGTCGTCTTTTATTCGTACTGATGGTAATTAAAATGTTCATCAGTACCGCTTAGAAGAATTACGCCTGTAGAGATGTAATCGAGTTGACTTGAAAATTGAATTATCCTTGTAATTTGATTAACAACCTGAATCGGAGTGCTCGCGTTTGAGAATCGAGGTTAACATGTACGCTATGTTTTCCCCAGAGTCTTAATAAGAAAAAACAATTTTAATTTTTGGTGTGTTATGTTTCCTAAAAAATAGAGTCGCCTGTTCTGAGGCGCTTGGTACAATTCCAAGGTCCTTACGATACCGCACATACGGCCACATTCTGATCAGGATATATAAAAACCAGACATAAACATTAGACCATTGTTCAACTCATTCATTGCTTCAGGTAAAATTAGAACATTTGCAAAGATTATCACAGGTATTTATCGGCTCTGGCACACAATATTCAGCTACTGCTTTAGCAACCTTTATGAAGAACGAAATGTTTTAATGCTGCACCATAAGGAAGAAAAAATATTCGTTACCAATATAACTCAAAAATCCTCAAATAAATCACCGTGTCAACTTCAAAGTTGTAGATTGGACAACGGAATATCGTCGAAGTCTAACCTCCAACACCTTATCACTTTTTGCGAGTCTGTAATGGAAACAACGAAATAAAATTAAACACTCGTACAACTTTCGCTAGCGTAAATATATTTGTCACTTCATGAAGTATTTCATACTTGTACGCAGTCAACTGGTAGAAAACGTCAGTAAAATAACAAAAAAAATACTCATTGTGGACTGTATCCAAGTTAGGCATCTTCTACGCCGGTCTTACCCACATACATTGATTGGACTCTGATATTTGATAGTGTGATTTCATAGGATAAATAATGCACATTACCTCTGAACTCTCACCTTTTCCTGCAATTGCGAGACTTTGGTCTTCTCCTGCTCGAGCTGTTCGCTGAGTTTGGCGACTTCAGCGCTCAACTCGTCGCGAGCTCGAGATACTTTCTCCAACTCGACGACGATCTCTCCAACCGTGCGCATCTCCGCAGCACCGAGCACCTGCACGCGATCATGGAAATTTATTGGTAATGAACTGACATCGTCATACAGTGAGTGCAGCGTTAGTGGTGAGGGATGAAGCGGTCACCAGCACACAGTGCAGCGTTAGTGGCGAGGGATGAAGCGGCCAGCACCATACGGTGCAGCGTTAGTGGTGAGGGATGAAGCGGCCAGCACCATACGGTGCAGCGTTAGTGGTGAGGGATGAAGCGGTCAGCACCATACAGTGCAGCGTTAGTGGCAGCAGCCAAACTTCTGTTATGTCTAATTTTACTCACAGAAATCTTTGAAACCATTGAGCAGGACAAGAGCATATATATCACACGCGTTCAAAAAAGTAAAAAATTAACTGAGAAGAAGAATGGGAGACTGGAGACCAGTTTAAAATGAATTTTCTGAGATCTTGCAAGTAGGACAGAATAAATTAATAAATTACTCTCTCTGAGAAAAAAGTAAGATTGTTAAATAATCACCAATAAAAAATTTGAAGTTGGTTGAATTCATTAAATTTCGTTGAATTATTTCACGAGTAGTTTACTGACACAACATGCAATGTAAACAAATGGTGCAGCTAATTATCAAGAAGGTTTCATGACCTCGCAAAGTTTCTTATTCCTGAGCTTGACTTTCTCGAGCGAGTCTTTTAGACTCTCAACCTCGAGCCGCAGCGCCTGGATCTCAAAGTCACGCTTCTCCACCTCGCTTATGGGCACGAGCACCGAGCCAGTGTTGGATGGTTGGGCAGCCTGGAACGAGTATAAAATATTTGTGTAATACTGCAGAGATTCATACGTAATGAGATGAATGAGATTTCTGCCGCACTATTGGTATTGTATTAAACAATACAACACACTAATATTCATCTCTTCAGTAAATGACTACAGGAGGGAATATTCCCTCCTGTAGTCATTTACTGAAGAGATGAATATTAGTGTAATGGATGAAGGAGTATAGGAGTAATGGATGAAGAGAAAAAAAGTGTTTCATACTTTCAATACTTACCGTTTCAATAATTTAAAAGACAAATGAACAATAAATAAAAAAGACAAATAAAACAGAAAAAAATAACGATAAATGACACTAATAGATACATTTGTTCTCTACTTCAGCTTGTGCACAGTTCAATTTCATGGCACGCAATATTTTGCCATCCCAGTTCACTCATTGCAAAAAAGTGCTCATTTTAATTGCGTTGGCCTCATCACAGGAACTAAGAGATAGAGGCAAGTTCTTCACCCAGCATATTGACGTTTGTGATAAAGGGAACAATAACAGTTACAAACACAGACACACTTGGCAACAACCAAGCTTCAAATACAGAGACACACGCAGCAACAGCCAAGCTTCAAACACAGGCAGCAACAGCCGAAATTCAAACACAGACACATTCGGTATACACAAAGAAAATCTCACCCTCTGTTTAGCAAGATGTTCAGCGTATTTCTTCTGTCTTGCTTCATTTGCAATGGTATTACGAACAGAACTGTCAAGATCAGAGAAGAAATTATCACTCTTGGGGGTCTCAGCCTTGGAAGTAGCAGACTTTTTGGTGGATTCCACCACCCCGTTCTGAGGTCTCTTGGCCTCGCTCTGCTCAACATCAAAGTCAATAATATTGACTCTGCTCAACATCAATATACGAGTCAATACCTAAAAAGTACAACAATGCAATTATGTGGCATAAGTAGTGGTTCAACACAACTATTTGGTTTTTGAAATTTAGGTTCCACTAGCCTTAGTAAGTTTACAATTGAGAGTACCTTTCTTCAAGTGGACAAACACACCTTCTTGTCATTCAAAGAATTGAATTCCGAAAGTGATATGGTGACCGGCTTATCTTTTTTCTTCTTTTTGGTCTTGGAATTTTCTCTTGGTTGTTGCTCAGCCGCATCAGGAGCAATTCTGTTAGCTTCATAATCTAATTTAGAGAGCATTAGAGCTTCCCTCAACTCCTTTTCATGGACCTCTTCTACGTACTGAAAGAGAAAAGCATAGAATTAACTCGCATTTTTTCAGTAGAAAAGTACAACTTGGATTGGCATGCTCGAGAATCATAATAGAGTAAATAAAATTATGAGGAAATAAAATAACATTAAAGTAGACAAAGTTATGAGTAACCTGACATAAAAATATTTAAAATTACATTCAGTAATTCTTTTTCATCGTGTTTCAATTACTTGTGACAACTATATATAAAATTTCGTCATAGAATAACTTTCTAATGTGCTCTTTTCCTAGACTTTCAGTGGTAGAAATGTCCCGAAATTTTCCATCATGTTTTAAAACCCTTTTGTGGGCAAGAAAAGAAATATCCAGAAATTGAAATTTCAGAAACCAGTGCAAGAAAGTAAGAAGTATATGAAATAATCACTTGATGTATTTTAAAAAAAAATTCATATTGGAGGTGTAAATTGCACTTTACAAATTTATTAAATGCAGTCCCTACACAAAATTCATTCTTTATAATTAAAATTTAGTTTATGCAATTGAAGATATCAATATTTAAATTCAATTTGATTCAATTCAATCTTGAAAGTTAACTTAAGTAGTTAAATATATATTTATACCATCAAACAGGGTAATAAGGGACGGGCAGGGTAATAAGGGACAGTGCTAAACATTTCGTAGAAATGTTATATATAGCAGCTAAACTAATTAAAATATTGCAAAACTAAAAATAGTGGCATAAAGTTCAACATTTTTCCTATCTATATAGCATAATGCACGTTAAATCATATCCCTGAAAAAAAGTGTGGAAAGCGAAATTTTGGAAAAGTACCTCTGCTAAGGTCTGTAGCCAAAAAAATGTTCACTGTATTAAAAAAATTTACTCTCATAAAAGTTGCACACTGGTGTTAGCTTAAGAACGTGCTCAACAGAATTGGCATAGCTCATTCCCCAAAAAAATGGCAGCCATATCCACATGATGGGATAATATGAGCACTCCTAAAAATGCATTTACAGTAGAACCTTGGTTAGCAAAGGCTCCAGTTAACAAAAAAAAATCAATTAACAACAAATAATTTGGATTACATTTACCTCACTTAGCAAAAAAAATGTTGCTTAACAAAAATTAATGCATCATTGGTCATCACAAAATTGTGCATAGAATGTCATAGATAGAATTATGCTCCAGGCAACTTAGAATGAAAAGTAATTAACCTAAGCAACAATTTTTTTCTCAAAAATATGATGGTTGTCACTAAAATATTCTTTTCTGTTTCAGGTATGTTTTTTACAATCTATTTTTACAACACTTCTCTTTAACTTCACTTCTTGTTTGTCTGTCTGTCTACTACAAATCTTGTATGTAATCTAAATTTAATACACTTCTACTTATCCTATCAATCTGAAATTTTGCACATTTGCGTAAAGTTGGAGACAATGCATGAATCAAATGACAAAATAAATAATTTTAGGAATAAAAATTTTTTTTTCAATATTAAAAAAAATGGAAAAAATAATTTTGTCCGCTACATACAAATCTTATAATTGATATTTGACACACTTTTACCTGTCCAATTGATATGAAATTTTGCACACTTGTGTGAAGTTGGAGACAATGCATGAATCAACTGACATAATAAATAATTTTGAACAAAATTTTATATATTAAAAAAATTGAAAAATTAATTTTTTAAATATTTGAAAATAAAATTAGAAATTCATTGTACATCTATAACATTGGAAACACTGGATTCTTTAGAAGTATTGTCTTTAAAAAGTACCGGTAATTTTTAAACGTATATTATTGTTGTAGTAAATCACTGGACTCGATAAAATGGTGCAAAATTACAGCCGTCTTGTAAGCCTAGCTACAGAAAAAATTCTTTGTGGCTGCTGATATGAAGTTTGCAGTGGACAAGGTTGTTGTCAATGTTCAATGGCATGTCCATGGATTAGGTAAAATCACATCAATAATACAGTAAAGTGTAATATCATGTCAATAAAGGAAACACAAGTAAAAATCACAGGAAATGTCATTTACATCATCTACAAAGGAAGAGGAGGTCTTCAGAATAATGTTAGTAATAGATGAGTACGTATACTCTGCATGCTTCAAACGTTTTAAAATCAGGTTTTATTCCAAGTGTCCCTCATTGCCCCGTTCCCAGGGTTAACTCAGGAGGCTTTTATTTTGCATCTGGCACCTTTCAATTAGCATATGAAATTTTTTCAGAGATGCCATATTATAGCCCTCACAAATGCCTTTAAAATGAGCACAAATTTTTTTATGAAATGTTTCATGATAATAAGTTATTAACAAAAAAAGCTGAAAACCGTCCCTTATTACCCCATTTGACGGTACTTCTGCCTTCTGAAAAAAATGCAGAAGGCGCATGAATTTCATAGTACGAGACATAACTTCCATTTCAATGCTCAAATTTTAATATTGGGGTGTGGTAGGTGGTGATACTAATGTATTGAATGATGGTCAGATAATTACCTAGTGATTGACAGAAGCATGGGGAGAAAGCTCCTAACACAAACCAGAAGACTTATTGGATCTCTTTGGGAGGTGGTTCTAAGTGACCATCTATGGTTACTTGCATAGGTATGGTTAAAGGGTTAATGTCTCCCAATAACTTGAATGGGAGAGTTTTCTTAACCCATTCATTTAATGTCTAATATTTCTTCTTAGTATACATTTATGATACACATATGTAGAATTTCAGGAAATTTCATTGAGATGTCCATCTCGTGAGAGTAATAACAATACTGACATTTGATACAGTAATCATAATACACCAACAAGTAGTATGGTGAGCAGTTAGGATTAGTATAGCCACCTAATTCATTTGCATTCATTAATAAACTTCATTCGAGGGAACACATAATTTTAAAGTCTTAGATTTTACCATTCTTTATGTTACCTTTTGGTCTCTTGATTGCCAGTCCTCAGAGAGAGCCTTGTTGCCATCCTCCACTCCTGCACCATTGCACATGTTATTTGACTTCTTTTTATCAGCAGCTGCTGCTTTGCTGGCCTTGGAAGCATTTTGACTTGCCCCAGCTGATTTTTTCTTAGGTTTGCTATCACCAAAGGCCAATGCTTGCAACTGAAAAGCAAAATATGTAATAATTATTAAAATAGAAATTGTGTAAAATGTCAAAATCCTAGGGATGTATTCATCAAAAATAGACTCATATATAATAAATAATTGCTTGTCTTTAGCATATAACATTGCAGCCCCATGGCATGGCTAGCCAATAAGTGCAGCTAACTTTTTCATAGAATCTTGCCATTCAAAATTTGCATCAAATACAAAAGATATTTAGTAATTTCAGGATTCTAAAATTGTTCAACCAAAACTAGCACAGATATCTAGAGCCACATGGACTGTGAAACTATGGATTCATAATCAGCAATGGTAGGCATGGTAATCACCAGAAAGTTGTGATACACATCTCAGAAACCTTACCGTCAACCGGGGTAACTCGGGACTGGCGGGGTAATTCGGGACAGTCCTCCGACACGGCGTAAAACTGTTATAGTAGCAAAACTAATTGGAATATTGCAAAACTAAAAATAGTGGCGTAAACGTCAACATTTTTCCTATCTATGTAGTATAAAGGGAGTCGAAAAATACGACATTTACTAGCTTTGAAAAATTAATAAAATGAGCCTAAACTTGTTTATGAAATGTTTCATCGTAAGAAGTTATTAACAAAAAACGCTCAAAATCGTCCCGAATTACCCCGGTTGACGGTAGTTCCCCAGCATTACATTCAATTCCAGAGATTCAAAGCCATCATTAAAAGCTTTAATTACTCATTTGAAGCATGACTGTAGATAAATTCCTTACCGTGTTGAAAATTTAGCATGAATTTATAAGATAAAGTCATCATATATTAATAGTCAGTAATACTGGAACCCAGGCTAAATTAACAGGAGTCACTCGCTTCAGATATAGCTTGTTAATTGGAATGCTATTGTTGAGTCCTAGCTTGCTAAATATACAAGTTTCTTTATGGATGAGATGAGTATTTAGATAATTTTTTAAGAATTTTTGAAGAATTATAAATGGGATGGCACAAAATTTGGTGCATATAAATCGCTCATAGTTAATTTTTTAAAGAAAAAAAAAGAGATATTTTAGGTTGTAATTTTTAAAAATTATCTGTGAAATTATAATATTCAATTGCCAATTTTGAAAAAAAATCCTAATAAGGCTCATAGGCTAAAATATAGTATAGTCTGATGGGGTAAGATGGGATCACAGCCTTCATGGGGTAAGAAAGGACCAGCCTATGACATGCACACTGATTGCACTGAGTTCAATTTGATATAAGAATCTGTTAGAGCAACCATTTCCTGTCATTTCAGTGTTTGTTTCAACAATGTACTGCAAATAATGAATTCTAGGCAATATTTTTTAACCTATGTGGTGATAGGTCAGAAAATAGTTAACCTTATTGGGTAAATAAGCTCTGTCAAGTGACATAATATTTTTTTGCCAGGTTTGTGGATGGGTATTCAGGTAACCTCAAGTAAGAAGTAACTTTTGAGCCATACCAGACATTCCTACCAGTTACCCTTACTGCCTGATGTGCATTCTAATATGGGGGTAAAAAAGGACTGGACATGGGGTAAGATGGGACCACCAAATGGTTCAGTTTCATCCCACAAGTTTCATCTTACCCTCAAATGGTCCTATTTTACCTCATAGATTAAAATTATTCAACAGACATGCATACTGATTGCACCGAGTTCAATTTGATATAAGAATCTATTAGAGCAACTATTTCCTGGTAGGTTCAAGGTTTTTCATTTATTCATGGTATAGGTGCTACGAGCTTGTTAGTGATTTTGGTCCTGTCTTCCCCCATCTCTGACTGTATACTGAACTAGTGAAACTTCCAGTTCATAGGATCTACTTTCAAAGCCTTCCTGCTATTTTTAAGCTATGAATTTCCTGCTAGATGAATTACCTTCTATGTAATTATTAACATCAGTTACCTCCTATTTAATTATTAACATAAGCTTTGGGATTCCAAAGTCATCATTAATAAATATGTCACTTTTGAGCCATAATATTTCAGTATTAAGTAAATTGATTAAATTCCCTAATTAGGCATAAGCCAGAGCCTCTCATGTGAATCAGAGAAAAACACTCATGAATCTGGCCAATGTCACCCACACTCAGGATGATGTATGTTTTCGGTGAATTTTCCCACGCATTTTCACTTTTTTTAAGCTATTGCTGTGCACAGTTGGCGCAATGTAATGAAAATTTATTATCTTCGCGCACGTGTTCGCGCAATCCCGGCCATCTTTATTTTGGAAGAAATTTTCTCCAAAGTCATATGGCAACACTGAACACCGTCTGTTTACATTTCGTATGTATAACAGCCGCAGTTTACGATTACCGTACCGTAAAATGGGGTAACTTAGACCGGCGGGATAACTTAGACCACTTTTCATTTTTTTAACAAAAACCCCCACAACTCAAAAACTATTTGACATAGAAAAATTTTGTCAATGAGCATTAAAGGCCTAATACTGAGGCTACATAACACAATAGAAAGATTTGAAAAGTTTGCATATCTAATAGGTTAAAAAATTAAAAATGTGACCCATGAAAAAAAGCTATTATTTAAAGCCTGTCAGAGTACCCCCTCCAATTTTTTTATTTTTTGGTTAAATAACTCCAGGTTTTGATGCATTGTAGTAGAACTCTTCTAGTTACATATGCAAATGACAAATTTGAGGAAAGTGTCATAGTTTGCAAATGGGGGGCACCGCCCCATAATGAGGGAAATGTGACTACCTAATGGCAGCCCTGATGGGGTAATATTGACTGGCTTGGAAATTAAGTTAAAATTACCATATAACAGACTCTGTAGAGTCTGAAACATAAAGAAAAAACATAAATAGGCTGTCAAACATAAAATATGTTATATATGGTAATTTTATATTAACTTCCAAGCCGGTCTATGTTACCCCATCAGGGCTGACATTAGGTGGTCTAAGTTACCCCATTTGGGGGCGGCGCCTCCCATTTGCAAACTATGACACTTTCCTAAAATTTGTCATTTGCATATGTAACTAGAAGAGTTCTACTACAATGCATTGAAACCTGGAGTTATTTAACCAAAAAATAAAAAAATTGGAGGGGGTACTCTGACAGGCTTTAAATAATAGCTTTTTTTCATGGGTCACATTTTTAATATTTTAACCTATTAGATATGCAAACTTTTTAAATCTTTCTATTGTGTTATGTAGCCTCAGTATTAGGCCTCTAATGCCCATTGACAAAATTTTTCTATGTCAAATAGTTTTTGAGTTGTGGGGGTTTTTGTTAAAAAAACGAAAAGTGGTCTAAGTTACCTCGCCGGTCTAAGTTACCCCATTTTACGGTACATCCTTTACCGGCTGCAACGTTGTGAGGCCTCCTCAAGATATCCTTTGCTCACCGGAGAGTGACGCGTCTCTACCGGCGACCTCGGAAACGTTCATGCGGGGCACAAAGCTTATGCAGCCTTCCCAAGATCTTCCTTGCTTATCGGTGACTGGGAGTGATGAGTCTCTACTGGTGTCAGTAGCGACCTTGTAACTTCTACTGAGCACAACGTGTTCTACTGAGCACAATGTGTCTTTCAGTAGATTCCTCTTGCTTATCCGTGAGTGACACGCACAATTAACAATATTGGGATTTTCTCTGTGTTGCCTGACGTAACGTTCATGCCGAGGCTGATTTCTGATGACCTGCATACCTGTTTCTAGTTTCCACTTGCCTGGAACGTTTTTTTTTTTCAAGGCGGAACGCTTTTTTTTAAGTGAACCTCTAATCTTAGATTTCCACTCTGTTACCCCATCAGGGCTGCCATTAGGTAGTCACATTTCCCTCATTATGGGGCGGTGCCCCCCATTTGCAAACTATGACACTTTCCTCAAGTTTGTCACTTGCATATGTAACTAGAAGAGTTCTACAACAATGCACCAAAACCTGGAGTTATTTGGAGTTATTTTACCAAAAAATATAATTGATTTTACCACCTGGTCTAAGTTACCCCAAGAGCTGGGGTAACAAAGACCATCACTTTTTTTTAAATTACATAAAGTCTATGAGAGACAGGAGCCAGAAATTTAAGGTGAGTGAAGCTAGAGTATAGACCTGTAATTCAAGTTTAATTTAGCTAGTAAAAAAATGGCATCATTTATAAAAAAAAGTGGTCTAAGTAACCCCATTTTACGGTACGTTCCGTATCCGACAAGGCGGACAACCGGAAGAGTCAGAAGTAACCCGGACATGTCTTACTTACATTTTATTATTGTCAGTTCGACTCGCGTAGTCAATATAGGCCTACTTGGCTATATTGTTGACTAAAATAGCAGAACTATTTTAGCTTTCTAAAGTACGGCGCACGGCGCATTTTTTTACCAATGTAGTACGGCAGTATGGAATTCTGTATAGGTAATATATTATCATGTTAACAAAAGAATGTGTATCGAAAAATTTACCACCTTACACCTTCCACCGAAGTGACAATTGATACTCAATTACTCATACTCTTACACTGAGCTCGTCAGAAACTGCGGGTGCGGACACCCGGACAGCTGCACTTCCTCTAACTCGCTTGCGTGTGGTTCAAAAACCGATAAAAAGTAGGCGACTCTTCCCTCCAATACATCACTAGTCGTGTATCCGTATCGACAAATTTGTAATGAATATGTTCCAAAATAAAGAATAAAAATTACGTATACTTTCGCAGAAAATTCTCACGATTTCACCAATACCAACAAAGTTCTCGAATCCACACAGAATGATGGGATAAACTGATAATCTTTCACGGCGTATGGCAACATTGTGTTGACTGTTGACATTAGACAAGACGGTGTCAGACACCTTGTTTTGGTCTTGTAAAGTTCAATTTCATAATAAATAAATTTGATCCACATTTCACAGTGACATTTAAATGATGGAAAATTGTTTCAATGAAATCAACCATGTCAAACTAACGGAATAATTTGTTATAGTTTTAGGCTTCCGAAAATATTTCAAATCTCTATCAGAAATATCATAATTAATCATTCTCTTGCATTGACTATATTAACGTTATGATCCGTGCCGCCGCTGCCGCGCCGCGATCGTCATTTGTTTTTGCAGTTGCATGCCGGGCAACTGCTTTTGTTGTTCTGTGTATTCTCGCTCCCATGAATTGCGTGTTTAGTGTATGCATCATCAAAAAGTATGCTTGACAGCGTAGTCACGGTAGCTGTAATTACTTTATTAAGTTTACTTCTTTGCAGTGATATTAAGAAAGAAATCTTTAACGAACTAATAATTTGTATAATTTTAATTGTTGAGTGGAAGACGCGCCTGCAGCCTTGCTGGCACGCAACATTCCAAGTGAGTTAGCCTACTTTATAGAAACTTAGCATACCCATACGTGTTTTAAGCCTATAAGAAGTTCATTTTTTTGCCTGAAATAATGTTGTATCGAAAAACTAGTGTAGGTGTATCGGGAATAATATATGAACAGTCAATATTAGAATTCCATCCTGTAGTACGGCGCACCGCGCAGGTCGTTAAAATGACGAAATAAATTCCCGTGCACCTGGCACATCTTCCTGACCATGGAATGTCACCCTTTCCTCATATCTCATTTCTTCAGCTAAAATAAGAAAAACAACCTCTTTTTACCCACAATTTTTTAAAATAATCTGTAAAATTATCTTTTTACAAGCAATTTTGGGAAACTTCTGCCTAATAATAGCTATTTCACATTAGAATAGCCTGATTAGATTTTCATTTTGACATTATACCTAACATCAATTTTTCAGAAAAAAAATAACAAGCAGGATTTTCCTAATCCTGCAAGACTGAAGATTATACTGATCAAATTGAATTAAAATAAGCTCGACTTATTTAAAATTACAACTAGGTATACTTGAACTAGGGATAGTAGGGATTAGGGAAGAACTAGCATCTGGTCTACGGGACAGGTTACAGTCCATAGTGGCCATAGTCTAGTCTGGAAAAGTCCTATTTTTGTCTGAAATATCGCGGCTCTAATATCATATAATTTCAGTAGGTATGAAATATCGCGGCTCTAATATCATATAATTTCAGTAGGTATGAAATCTCGCGGCTCGAATGTCATAAATTTTTGTTCGATTAAAAAATCGCGGTTTGCACTTCGCAAACATGTCATTTCATAAAATTTTCAACTTACGCAATCCACATCGCTTTACCGTTTCCGCCAAAAATATCTTGCAGAAAAAACATAAACATCGTAATGTAAACAAATAAACAAAACGTTTGTTGAAGAAGTTTGACTGTTTAAGGGTAAAATTAGAGATTTGGGGTAACACGTGCATAAACTTTGTAAATAAATTCGCATTCGCACCTCATAAATGGCTTTTCATGGCCGAGATATGGAATTCACGGCTTGGTGAAACATAGTGACAAACCAGAGATTTTTTAGAATCAGTTCATTTTTAATTTCCTCGTTTACTCAAGATTTTAACCAATTTCTCAAGTATGATAATGCTGGTATCCATGATACTTTACTGGTCTACTTATAGGACTCAAAAATGAACTTGAGGGAGAGTCTAAAAAACTCTCTGCTTTGCCACTATGCATGATACTTTACTGGTCTACTTATAGGACTCAAAAATGAACTTGAGACAGAGTCTAAAAAACTCTCTGCTTTGCCACTATGTGGTGAAATAGAATCACGGCTCGTAGAAATGGAATCACGGCTGGCAAATCCATAAAACCACGGCTCGAAAAATTCAGTCACGGCTCGCCAAGTAGATATATTCCATACTAGGGCCCATAGTGACAAACCAGAGATTTTTAGAATCAGTTCATTTTCAATTTCTTCATTTACTCAAGACTTAAATCAATTTCTTATGTAAGATAATGCTGGTATCCATGATACTTTACTGGTCTACTTATAAGACTCAAAAATGAACTCGAGGGAGAGTCTAAAAAACTCTCTGCTTTGCCACTATGAATTAGTGGCAAACCAGAGATTTTTTTAGAATCAGTTCACTTTTAATTTCCTCATTTACCCCAGATTTTAACAGATTTCTTATGTATGATAACTCTGGTATCCAAGATACTTTACTGGTCTACTTATAGGACTCAAAAATGAACTTGAGGAAGAGTCTAAGAAACTCTCTGCTTTGCCACTATGGACTTACACAGGTGACGGGTAATTTTGAAAATAAGAAATTTGTCAAGTCTGATACTGTGAATTTGAGAGTTCCATATAAAATTTTGTTAATTTGACATAAAAGAAGGTGGTTTCATACATACCGATTGAACTTCTTTAGCTTTCTTATTAGCTTTAGGCTTGGCACTAGTTTTCTTAGCAGGAGCAGGAGGCGGTGTTTCAGCTTTAGACTGTTTTTCAGGCTTTCTTTTTAAATGCATATCATCCAAATCAACATCACTACCCAAAACGCTGAATCCAAAGTATTTCGACATTTTTGACAGCAAACGTTCAAGTTTCAACGCCCACGCAATGTCGCAAGAACCTTTTCAGTTTTCGACTGGCAATCGAGTCCTGCCACTGAGTACTGACATCGGCATGAAAGAGATCAAATAGGTTGGGGAAGCTGCAAATACCTGTACTACACGACAGACGTACGAAGCATGTATCCTGTGTTCCGAGACATCACCTAAACATTTCTTGTCAAATATCGGTTGAAATTTAATCCTTGGAAAAAATTCACTTTTTCGTCAGACTTTTCCCACGCAAACTGCAACACGGTACAAAATCGTATAAAAATGTCTTGGAAGCGAGAGTACCGGGATTCAAAGTATCAGATTTGAAAGTTCAGAGTAGCAGGATAAGAGTTACGTGAGTAGTAAATTGCGTTTTCCGTTGAGTCGACGTCGAATGATTGCTGGGACTAAATTTTAATGAATAATGATTGGCAATGTCGTTCGAAAAATGCATTTTAACAGCAGCAAAATAAACAACAAACGATATACTTCTGCTAGTTGAAAATTAAGTTAGGTTTTCCGTATTAAAAAGAAAATTATTGATGAATAAAATTGAAAAAAATACCCTCCGCAGCGTACTGATATTATCTACTTATATTTCAAATTTGAATAAAATCCGTTCATAATTGAAGGAGTTATGAGTGCCACAGTTGAAAATGAAGTTCGAGCTCGCAGGCGAGTTCGCACGCGAGTTCGCTGAAGTGTCGAATCGGTCACACTAACAAATAATAGGCAGGCAATGGTGATGTTATTCGCTGTTTTCCTGTGTGATTTTATTCCATGAACACTTGACACGTTGATAGTAAATTATTGTCCAACACTTTTTGATTAAAAATATTTAGCTATTTTCTTGTTTCTAACAAATTTTGATACCTACCCACTAATACTAGTGCTGGATGTGCTCTTCCACGCTTTATAAATCGCATAACATGAAAACGGAAAGCTTAAAATATTGACGTCGTTAAAAATTATAAAAAAAATTAATCGATATTGTGGTGGGAAGGGAGGTGCTATAGACATTTAATTAAATATAAAATGAAAGTTCAATTCAAATTAATGCCCTTTCAAGTCATTAATTGAAGTTATCGTGACCCAAAATGAAATCAGAGCAAAAAAAACAGTCACCCTTTCAGAAATATTAACAAATTTTAGATTTTTTTCACACCCGTGTAATCACTGTTAAACTTGTAAGAAAAGCAGACTGGGTTACCAGTTTTTCCCGGTGCTGTTTTGCGGTCGTTCCTGTGTGACGGATAAATGACCGTGTGGCGAATAGTTGATTGATTGGCGAATAGTTGACGAATAATTGATCGATTGCGGCGAATAATCGATTGTTTGCAGGAGGCGAATAGTCGATATATGGTGAATAACTAATCATGTGCACGTGACGAATAAGTGATCGTCTGTGTATGACGAACATGTGATCGCTCACACATGGAGAATAAGTGATCGCTTGCCCGTGGCGAACAATTAATTGTATGTGCATGGCGAATAATTAATCGTGTACATGTGACGAATAAGTGATCGGTTGCATGTGGCGAACAAGTAATCGACAAAATCGGTTACATGTGGCGAACAATGATCGACAAAATGAGGGCACCATCCCATGAAGGCAAAAAGTGCTCCTTTCTTTACATGAATTTAGAACATATTTTAAAAATTAGTATAATACATCAAATAAGAAATAAACGTGTACGTTTGAATGTGGCGAATAGTTGAAGAATAATTGATCGATTGCGGCGAATAATTGATTGTTTGCAGGAGGCGAATAGTCTATCGTATATATAATATATATATAGCGAATCATGTGCACGTTGCGAATAATTAATCGTATGTGTATGGCGAATAATTAATCGTGTGCATGTGGCGAATAGATGATCGCTCACACGTGGCGGATAAGTGATCGCTTGCCCGTGGCGAATAATTAATCGTGTGCATGTGGCGAATAAGTGATCGGTCGGATGTGGCGAATAAGTGATTACCAGTGATTTGAAGTGATAGTGATTTGAAAATTACCTGTATGATTGATAAAGCCTGCATGTGACTGATCGTTCGCATCTGGTGAATGTCGTATGTATGTCGTGTATGTGAGGCTCCGCTAATTTTGTTTATAGAGACCCAATCTAAATGCGGTGGACGACGTCTCAGTTGCCCATCCTTTGGTGCGGAATTAAGATTCGAAGTGACCAGCAAAATGAGGGCTCCATCACATTAGGGCAAAAAGTGCGCTTTTCTTTACATGAATTTAGAACACATTTTAAAAATCAGTATAGCACATCCAATCATTTTAATCAACGTGGAAACTATTTAGCCCTCTTTTCGAACAATATTTAGGTAATGCATTTAGATGTAAATGTATTCTATGTTTTATCTATCCGAAAATCAGTCTACGGCCTTCTACAAAAAAATTCGAGCTGAGAATTAGTCTTTCATCAGTCGGACTGACAGAGCATTAATTATTGTTAGAAGAAATGCAGTAATGAAGGATCGGTCAATGCATTTATACTTGTTCAATGTTTTATGGAAATTTGTGGCAAATTCTGCATAAATTCCAAATTGTCATAACATAACATAACATAACATAGTGATGTCGGCTCTGAAGTGTAGGCCTGATGTGGCCTGTCGCCGATTCTTTTCCATTTCGTGCCTTGTTCATAGATCTAAACTCGTGTCATTTGACCGGATCTTTTCATGACTGGCGATAGTTTGNTGTCATCAGATATTTTGATTGTCCACTGCAATATATGGAGAAGTGTAATTGGTGATAGCTGTGTGCCATGGCAAAGAATCAGCATCTTCAAAGCAATTAATTTAGCTTTTTTGACCCATGTTGTGCCTAACTTCACAGTCGTATATTATTATTACAACATTTCTCTTTAGCTTCACTTCTTGTTTGTCTGTCTGTCTGCTACAAATCTTATAATCGAAATTTAACACACTTCTACTAATGCTATCGATCTGAAATTTTGCACACTTGCGTAAAGTTGGAGACAATGCATGAATCAAACGATAAAACAAATTATTTTAAAATTAAATTTTTTTCAATATTAAAAAAATTTAAAAAATAATTTTGTCAGGTACAAATCTTATAACTGATATTTGACACACTTTTCCCTGTCCAATTGATCTGAAATTTTGCACGCTTGTGTGAAGTCGGAGGCAATGCATGAATCAATTGACATAATAAATAATTTTGAAACAAAATTTATATATTACTAAAATTGAAAAATTAATGTTTTAAATATTCGAAAATAAAGTGAGATATTCATTGTACATATGTAACATTGGAGACACTGGATTCTTTAGAAGTGTTGTCTTTAAAAAGTAATTTTTAGACGTATATTATACTGATGGCACTCTCGTGATATTTCCGGTTGAATTAATTATAGTTGAAGTGACAGTGTTAATGATCGCCAAGATTGGTCCACTGGGTAGACGTTTCCAGACCATCAAGTAGCTCTGAAAATTCTGGTTGAGTTCGGGGAGGTCACTGCACAATCAAGAACACCAAGACTGGAGCAGTGAATTGTGGGTTTGAGACACATACCAAGACTGAAAATTCTGCAGTATCGAGAATAGCATCAGATACAACATAGATTAATCATTATCTCTGGCACCACTGCGCTATAGTTTATCTTCAGTTACTGCCACAAACCAACTCAATCATTGCAATTCAGTAAGCCGTGATAATACCCGATTACTAAAAGCAGCGAGTATGTAAAACATCATTTGGACTTCAGCATAAGCTGTCTAGCACAACAAGAATGAAGCTTCACGAGAGATGTCAAGAGTAACCAGACACTGTAGCAGGCGAGGGAGAAAAGCGACAGAACAACGATACAAGCCGTACAACGCCAGATATTGCAACGCCCATACAGGAATTGTAAGCAGCGCGCCTGTCACGAGATGAAAAGAAAAACAGTCCAGAAGCCTGCCTTAGGCCCCAACCCAAATTATTTGAGCTTAGACAAACGAATACGTTAGGCTCCATTGTATTCCCTCTAAACGGAAACAATCGACGAATTTTTGTCTAACCCTGATGATGCCTCTGTTATCGACGTCTGCGTGAAAAGTTGGGAACCTCATTGAAGTATACAGGCATACTCATGGTTTATGCAAGGTCGCAGAAGGATTCTGCGACCTTGCCTTGCCTTGCCCAAGGTCTAATGTCCGACTAGAATTTGAAACATGAACCAACACCTAGGGCCACGGCTATAAACTAAAAAAACGCGTTGCAACTCATCCACGAGGTAACATTTCTTCTCGCTTCGAATCACCAACATGTGGAACAGCCTTCCCGATTACATTGTTGACGCTCCGAGTATAAACGCGTTCAAGAACAGACTAGATAAAGATATGGAGAAATAAATAGTCCGACTTGAAATGCCTAGCACCATATCGAACCCGGAGGAAGTCTAGTAGCTATTTCAAACTATCATCAGTTTGGAAAAGATCCTGTCGAAGGACCCGTTTTTAGATCTCCTGTGGTCAAGTCACGAAAAGTACAAGAATTGGCGACAGGCCACATCAGGCCTATTCTTCAGCGCCGACATCGCTATGATATGAAGGGCTCTTTTTCCTGAAAGGGTCCAGAAGGATAGTCTAGTTTGCCCCCTAGCTGCGGCCCTACCATCATCAACACGATGGTAAACTTCCATTCAATCATTCCATGTTAAAATGCTCAGAACACTTTATATCGTCCAATTATTAATTATTACCCGACTTTCTGCAATTGATATTTTAGCAGATTTTTATCGTCATAGAACATGAGCAAAAGGAATGAGAGTTCAAGATGAAGAGAACAGTTTAAATCAACTGTTTCTATAAATGGGGAAAATAAACAGACAAGAGTAAACTACACGTTTCTTCCGAAATTTATCCTACAAGTGTTATACAGCCCTTGGGTAAAAATATAGATATGAAAGTTTCTTTTTGAAAGCAGAGCATTAAGGAAGCAAGAGTTCATCTTGTAATCTTTCGCACTAAATGACAAATTAGGGGAAGTAGGGTACAGTGGAGCATGAGGGACAATAGGTCAAGTCCATTATTTTGTACATTAATGGGTTATATTTAAAACAGTTTGGGCAGTAATGGCACATGCAATGATTGATGGCAGTAAGTCTGTGCAATGGCAGTAATCATTGCAATGGTGCAATCATTGCATTTGGGCAGTAAGTCTGTGCAATGATTGATGTGGCAGAGGTTGTGGTTGTACCATTCTATGTAGAAAATATCTGACGTGTCTCACTGTGTCTTATGCCCCACTGTACCCCAAGACTGAGCTAAACGATGTTCCTAAATTGCACGCAGTCTTTGGTGTAGTAGCATAAGAAAAATTTAACTAATCAGTACATTTAAAAAAATTCTCTTTATTAGTATGCGGACGATTTCTACTGTAGAGAAAATATCAACAATAAGAAGAATTATCTTCCAACTATAGAACGGAAACAGAAACTAAATGTGTGCTCAAGAGTAATAAGAAGAAAGTTAAGAACTAATAACTAATGCTTCCCATTAAATTATTGCTTACCGAAATAACCCCATCCTAATAGAAAAAATACACAACATACATATCAAATCAAAATAAAACTTATACTTCATGTCTGGGAAAAACGTTTTGCTGCTCTAGCTATAAAATGGAAATTAAAAATTACGTACGAATTGTTATTTCTTTAATCTCACATCTGAGATGTAATCAATAATTACTAAAATGGAAATTGTTCTAAGGCAATTCTTGCACGAGAATTTCTGGAAAACCTAAAACAGTGAAGACAAATTAAATAAACGAATGAGAACCCGCCAGTAAAATTGATACCGCCTAATACGTATATCACTGACGATACAAGCGATATTTTTACTGAATTCAATAAATGTTCAAGAATAAATACAAAGTAACATGGTAGACTGGCTACACACAATGGAAAAATCGTGTATTATTTAAGGTCAGGCCAAGAAAGTTACACTGTCAAACCTGTTGAAGCCATTACAGTGATATTGAGAATAAACCAAGAACTAGAATCTTCGACTGTAAACACAAGAAAAGATCTTAATTTCTCCGTGAGATTCAGTGTCTCTAAGACGCTCAGTGCAAGGCAATACTCGTATAATTATTCTATGAACGAGATGGAGATATTTCATCAAGTCTTATTTCGAGAGAATACAGGAGAAGAAAGCGTTTATGAGGAAGCATTTGTAAACGCAAGCCTTTAACAATAAAAGTGGTGTGTCCGAAACTTCACTCTATCACAAGAAATAAAAATAATTCGAATTAACCAAGGATAATGAAGGTATTAATAAATAGAGGCAGTATCTACATTGACCGCGTGAGGTATCATGTTTAAAAGAAATTCATGGAACGACGGTAGCTCGCGCTCAGCGATAATTATAAGGCCACACACTGTTTCAACATGGAAGAAGACGACACAAAATACAGCAGAAATAAATTATCAGTAATAAAGTTCAAATTACGGTAACATAGACTACTTTCTCAGTGTATTGGGAAATTTGAGTAAATTGTTCCCCAAACTAAACGAATACCATTAAAAGTGCAGAATTGATCGCAATCAAAATATACCTAGCTTTCAGATAGCATTCAGCATAAAAAACTAGAAAACTTCATCAACAGCTCAAACTGCCTTGCAAAAAAAAAAATTGCCATTACCTTTCTCGAATAACGTAAATTAAAAATATCCATTTCCTCACAAGTGGCGACTAAAATGTTTAGTACCAAATGATGGACATGTACGAGCTTCACTCAGACCTAGGAGCGGCACACATAACTGCGGGAGTAGATCAGAGCTCAAAATAATATAAATATTTATGCCCGAAGTCTCTAATTCGGCAGGCGGCACCTTACGGGATACAGAGCAACTAAAAACAACCCATTTCAGAAACATTCACCTTAGAAACCCCCATTAGTAGATTAATTCTACACATAAATTGGACGTCTATGTATAAAGTTATAAGATATACATAGCGAAAGTCTATCAAAGAAGCACAGGTAAAAAATGAGAAAACGATGACGAATGAGCAAGTTGAAATAGCAAGTACGCTAAATTCTGTGAGGTGCAAGGGATGACATGGGCGCAGCCCAGACGACACTCGTACAAAACCAGCGATTACGACTACCTATCGTAGTACCTAATCTCCTGTGACAAATTACAGGTAGGTAACTCCTAAATATGAGCACACTATCAATCTGCGCGAGAAGTCCCGTCAGTGTCGCCAGCAAAAAAGCCACTTTCATCAGGCCCGCAAGATGTCGTTCGTAGACGAGGACTCCGAAAAGACCTCATTGGCTCAAATTATTTAGGGCAGCCCAAATTATCAAACAGTCAGAGGCGAAAATATCCACAAGATTCAAGTCAAATTTAAGGTTATACAAATTTAATTTTTTCAAGCAACACACGAGCATTAGTTAGAGCAGCGTCCAATAGCAGTAAAAAATTCAATAGTTACCGACGTCATTCGAGATTCTTCAACAAATTTGATTGAAAGAACACTTTCTGCATTGTACACTTAAGTAACACTGCCTTGGATAGATAAATAACAATCATTACTTTTACTCAATGCAACTTTGAGTGAAATGATATCCTCAAAAGTTAATGTTCTTAGGTAAGAAAATTAATTTCCTAAATAAACCACATCTAGGCGGGTGCAACCCCCAACAAGCGAGAGAAGTCTGACTGGAGAAAATGATGAAGCCTAATTCTGTTAACGTCGTTAGAACCTGAAGCCACCATCGCTGTTTGTATCGTCGCAACGAACGTAGTTGTGGTCGCCAGTATTGTCGTTCTCAACACAACTTTCCTCGGGCTCCTGTTGAGTTACAATCATTTAAATGATGCACTGAAAGTTTACAAGTTTCCGTTTAAAGGTCCTACAGAAATTTTCATCAAATTTTGCATAGCTGAAAACATCAAAGTATTGTTCGATGAGAAATTAATGGATGGAAGACCAAGTAATTTATTGATGAAAAAAAAACATCAAGAATGTACACTGCAATGTTTTACTAATCACATATTTTGAATAAACGCTTTACTTACGTCATCATGAAAGTATTTCTCAATGATGGTGTATGCCAGCTTGTAAACGTCGACATTCTCGTGATTCTGCAGGAATTCTATTTTGTCGATGCCTGATGAGGAGACATGAAGTAGAGGAAACAAGAGTTTCAATCATTTAATCACAAATTATTCCCTGAATCGAATTAAAACAGGAAGAAAAATACAGATGCATGGAAAAAATAAGTAGTTTTAGAAGCATTTAATAACCATAAACAGAATAGAAGTATGATTTAAAAATCACGAAAAATATATACTAATCACAAAAGAAGTACAGGAGAAATAAATATTCTGACCTGTTTGAAAATGGAATATGAATACGATACTCAACAATTATTGTTAGTCACTAATATGAATCTTAAAAATGATCACCAATACACAACTGAAGAATTTTTTAAATTTTCGGTAATGTCAAAGAAGAAGAACTGACCCCCACACTCCTCTATCATGGCAGTGACAGCTTCTAGGTCCTCATCACACCGCTGAAGTATATTGTAGATGCCGTCAAGCACAACCTGGATCACCTGGGCGTCCATGCACGTCAACAAGTTGCAGAACGGAGGGATCACGTGCTGGGTCAGCAGGTACGACAACTGCGACAACAAAACTCCAGTTCAAATGAAAAGAATGAGCCTCCAAATAACACAAAAACTTGTATTTTCAACATTCAAATAACTTGTATAATGCCTATACAATTTGTTTCGATTCAAAATTTCTACATGAAGAAGCGAGAGAAATATTCATAAAAAATGTAATAAATTGGTTTGTTTATGCAAGTGCAGTAATAAAAAAATTCTGTTTCAAATGCTTCACAGCACACAAGAGAAATCAATGCGAACTTGCTTTTCTTCTCTCGTTCTAAGCGTTTTATTCAACAGAGTAGTTAAATTGTTGGCTCAGCTGACAAATATTTAAAACGATTTTTATGTTTAGCCTGTGCGAAGCAATTCATTCTTTTGTCAAAAGATATATAATTGTTGTGATCAAACAAGGCCATCATTACCAAATCAAAGCTCTTCATTAGAATATTTTTTGACTAAATCAACACAAATATTGTCGAGAAGAAAAAATGTAAACATTTGCAATTAAAGCAATAACTTGTAAGAATTAATCAGCATTGGAAAAACTTGTAAATAGTCGCCAACAGAAGAATTTTCCATGGATGGATGTAATTACATGACGAACTTGTCAGAATTAATCAAGGCCAAAACTTGTAACCTGTTCTTTGGTGCCAGAGACGGTCAGGTTACTGATGGCCCAGGCGGCCTCCTTCTGCGTGTTGAAGTCACCACGCGCCAGCAGGTGCAGCAACAGCGGCACGAGTCCAGCGTCCAGCACCGCCTGCACCTGCGTCTTGTTGCCCGCCATGATGTTGCTCAGAAACCACACTGCCTCCTGCAACAAATAAAAGATGCTAAAGATGCAAATTATAGGGAATGACAACTTCAACATATATATTAAGTGTTAACTCCCCTGACCGCTTCCTGCAACACCCAAAGCTCTCGTTACCGCTTACCGAGTAAGAATTTGAAGATAATAGAAATTAATTTTACTGGACGAGACAATAATGACGGCTACCACACAGTTATACACAAGAAAATACTCAGATATTCCAAGATACTTAGAAAGCCACAGTGCTGCAAATACTGTCAAATTAGATGAATTTATAAGGATTAGAAACTTGAAATAGGGCATATAAACTTGAATATAAAGAAGGGGATTGGCAGTCGATGTTGGACTCGAAAAAAGAATTAGTTTAGCATTATATACTTTCGAGCGAATTTTGTTTACATTTTTATTACATAATATCTTTAATATATTAAATGCAGGATTAATGCATTTAGAAAATTGCAATTTTGCAAGCGATAGATTGCATTATATTTATTGCAATAAACTATAAGGCAATTCTATCTACTTTGTATTAATTGCAAGATTATTTGACGTGACTTGAACTGATAAACTGATGCAGGGCGGCCCACCTTGGTGATCTTGTCCTTAGGATGCTGCAGCAGTGCAGGGAAGTGAGCGAGTGCATTGCTGTCGATCACGGCCTGCGTCTGCTGGTCGCTTCCCGTCACTATGTTGCCCACTGCTCGCAGCGCTGCCGTCTGAATCTGCACGACCACAATCCACTTTTGTCTTGTATCTTCGGAAATAGTTATAGTTTATCAGACTTCTTTGGCAGGAGCATTAATGATAAAAAAGCTGAAAATTACCTTGACATCTTTGTGTGAGAGCAGCGGGATCAGGGATTTGAGAATACCACTGTCAATCACCAGCTGGATGTTCTTCTCACCGCCATCTGTGAGGTAGCTCAGAGCCCACACTGTGTCCACTTGGATCTGAAATTCAATCAATCGTCAACAAGGAATTTAATTCTTATCTAATCAACAGTCAGTATTTGTCAACATGATAAAAATAACATTAAATATATTCACAATTCAATCAAACAAGTAACACAACCTTTTTGATTATGTACATAATTCTACATGAAAATATAGTGAAGACTGAAGAGGCACCTATATATTAGGATGCAGTAGACTCACAGAAGTGTCATTACCTATATATAGCCTTAGATGAGGTAGCGACTTACACAAGCGTCATTACTTGTAGATTATGGAGGGGGATTGAGTCACAGGAGTGCCATTAACTACAGATTATGATGAGGTAGTTACTCACAGAAGTGTCATTATGAAGTATAAGGAAGTTGAGTGCTGGCAGCAGCTCACTGATGGTCTCCGGAGGAGGGGGAGGATCTTTATTGCGACAGAGATTAACAATAACCCATGTCACATTTCGAAGAAATCCCAATTGAATTCCTGCAACAGGTTTTAGAAAATTCCTATTAGGCATGCTGGAAATTTGAAAAATGAAGACTAATTAAAATTATTAAAACCCATTTAAAATTAATAAATTAATATAATAATTTGATAGAATTATTTACTGAACTATATGCAATTTACCAATTTCATAGGTACTACAGGATTGCAAAGATGGATAATTTTCCATACCACCAAACATTGGCCAAAAGAAATAATCAATTCCGATACATTTGTTAAACAAATCAGGATTAACAAAATATTTCTCTCACCTGGTACAATGAAATTTAGTAGAGGCTTCACAATACCCAAGGATATGACATAATCGCGCAACTGTGGTCCATCTCCTATAATATTTCCTGCAAAGAACAAAAATTTGTGTCAAAATTCAGTAATGATTTAAGATGTATAGATTCATTACTGAATCCTGCATAGATCCATAGATGCAGGAAAGAAGTATTAAATCAAGTTGAATTGTTTGATGCACAGAATTCCAAGAAAATGCACAACAAAATCAGTTCAAAGCCTATTTCCTAAGCTTAACTAAAAGTATTGACTCTGAAATGAAAATTAAAATTTGCTGAATAAATTCATTAGAAGGCCCAGAGGCCTTTTTCTTTGTATATCATTCATGCTCCTGTTCATGTTGAAGGTTTGTAGGTATAGAATTGAATACGGTATCTTGGAATTGCTGTAGCAAAGTGATTAAAAAAAATACCTGAGAAATATTTTCAAATCATCAATCCATAGAATAGTGATAAAATCATTATCATGATGTTTGCATAGGAACTGACCAAGAGCCCATACTGCCTGCTCACAGACATTGTGCGAAGGAGATGTAAGGAGTTTGAGAAAGAGAGGCACAGCGCCGGATGCAACCACAGCTTTTGTTTGAGAACCTGTGCCTGATGCAATATTTGTCAAAGCCCATGCAGCCTCAAACTGTAAAGAACTGCAAAAATATATAAACTAAAATTAGAAACAAATATTAATATTTGACTATGAATCAAATTTCTTACAAAAATACAATTTTGTAAAAACAATTCTTAACCAAACTCAAATTAAATTGTATGAAACACACTTTGAAACAGGGTGATTGAAAGAATATTAATGTACACATAAACAATCGAAATGATAATTTAAAATCTCATTTAACTCTAGCAATTTTCTTAAATGGAACTTAGCACAGAACGAAGATAAGTATTTCAGTATATATACATATATAGGTATATATCTTCAGTATTGACTCACTTATTTTCAGAATCAAGACATGACACTAAAGTAGGCAGAATTCCAGATTCAATGAGGCTGTCTATGGGAGGGTTTCTGTCTGAAGAAAGTAGTTTCCTAGCAGCCTGCACTGCTGCAAGCTTCACTTCAGAATCAGGGCTTTGCGCGTCACTCACTAATGAGGCCAGTCTTTCTGCTGTCAAGAACTTCTCACATTCTCCATCATCAACTGAAAAAAAAAGGATCAGAGCATTCTAATAGTTATTTTAAATTATAACCAATATTATTATAGACAAATAACAAATTTATAATACATTTATGTTACCTAGTCTTAATAGGAAAGCGTAATGCAATTTATAATCTTAATTATATAGGTACCTACATCATCATAGATGGCCTAAAAATTATGAATATTTTTGCCCAGTGACCATCAAGTATGATTTAGTACCTATACTGTAGCAAACACTTGTACACAAATATTTTGAAGACAGAAATCTAAATTATCTTTATTAATATGAAAAAAAAAACTTCCTAATCTAGTCACAAGGCCTAGGCTTTTATATTTTACTAGTAAATCCCATTTGAAACATTTATAAATATTTCTAAAAAAATTTCATCTATTTACATTCATAAGACAAATAATTTGTACCTATTTGAAAATTGATGAAATAGGTGGATATACAAATAGAGAGGAAATTTCCATATCATTGAAGAGGACAATTTTAGTTGCAAATTAATATTTACTCAAGAAAAGATAATTATCACAGTCAAAACTAAAAAATATTCCAGAACAATTTTCCAATCAATTTAATTTAGAAATTGACTTATAATATAGCTCACCTTCATCAGATCCAACTGGGACATTTCTTCTTTTTTGAAGTGTTTCATCTCGTTTATTTTTTCGCAGTTCAACAGTAACTTCTGTTCTTCTCCTCCTCATTTCCTGAAAAATATTCCAAAAATTAGGCCTTTGAGTGCCACTGTTAATAAAGTCGCAAATGAAATTCCACAAATACTTTTTCAATAAAAGAAAAATTCTGCTGGTTCAATTCTGATTTACGCCTTATGGCAGTAATAAATTAACATATAAAATTTATTACCAAGATTTATTTCTTCTAACATTTTTGAAAGTGACAGTGTTCCAACTTCCAAATAACTTCTCAAGTACCAGGTACTAAAACTGAAGCAAAGAGTTAAAAGTTATTCATGCATTTGGACAGTTTGTTTACTAAAGATTAGTAACTATTTCCTTAGCACTTGGTAGTTTGTTGCCATACGTGTAATAATTTGCAGTCTTAACATGATTCTTTCTTGACAATAGGGTGGAATTCTAGAAATGGTGGTTCACTTATAAAAAAGCTTTCCACTCAAGGTGGAATGCTTTCCCTAGATACAGTGCTCTGCCAGGTGAGTGAGGCTGAGTTGACATGACCACAACAATAAGAGCATCATAAGTAACATTTGTCATTTTGGACTTGGAAGTTTTAGGAGGAAGCTTTGTAATGGACTTGAGCCTATAAACTATAACTATAAGAAAAACATTTTTGTATCATTCACTTGTAGGTTCTCCATTGTGAATACTGAGCAGAAGTTTTCTAACATGGAGGGAAAAATGATTGTTTCTTTGATGATTTTTAATAATGTTTAATATTATTGGGTTATTCAGATTTTTCATTAAAGAAATTATGAAAATTCTATAGCCACATGTCAAATTGCCATATTACCCAGATTTACAGTCATTTTGTCAAATTCACAGGCAGCCTCTGCCCAAATTTCAAGCTAGCCTAGCATTGAGCCATAGACTCCAGAATGGCTTATTTTCCAGAATAGCTAGCCTACCATGCCATTTACAACCTCATGGTGTGATGAAGTTGGTGTCTTCAACATATGTTGTTTCAACTTGTTTGTGCCATGCTTCACTTTACAGCATGGGCATGCTTGATTCAGCTTGAAATGTCAAATTTATAATGTATGCAAAATGTGTTTTTGGAGCAGGAAAGCATCAGTTCAGTAGAAAGTAAGATTTTTCCTATCTTGCAGAGTTCCAGGGACCATTTCACTGTAGGCCTAAATCATAAATGAGCTAGGTTACTAGGTACCAGATTTATATCCAACAACTGAACAACATGACTAACAGTAACAAGACAAAAACATACAAAATTACCAGCTAAAATTTATCGATTTCATTTATACTCACATCTTGATCTTTCCCTTTGTTTTTAAATACACCCATTCTTGTTTTGTTGGGATCATCTTTTAATCTCTCCATTGTTCGTTTAACATAAACAGCAGTTCTGTTAGGCGTGAGCTGATAATTTGTAATTTTTGTTGCAAGTTGCAACTGTTGCGGGTTTCCCGTAGCCCTACTGTCACAATTCGCCCATCCGCGAATATTACATCCGTTCCGCGAATTGATGGAATACAATTGAAAGTCATTTTTCTTTATAACTAAAAAGAAGTGAACTATATTTTTTGGACATCAATAGTGAAACACATATATCTATGCTCAAAGCAAATTTTTTAGGGCATCTGTATCCTAAATGAGTTGCGAAAAATTGTTTTAATTTGACATGATGGATGGAACTATGGTGGCCTAAAAAAACGGGCAAGTCAGCTGCCAAAGGCCTTCAACCCAATATACACAATTATATTTATCAGTTCCGGTAGCGAAAAAATTCCATTTTCCTTTTTTGCGCATTTTACAAAATGAAATACCAACAACGTAAATTTTACCCGGACAACGCAATTGAAAAAACTAAATCGCGGAATTTGTCCGGATAATAAGACCACCTGGCAGCCGTGGTTTAAATCGTCGGTCGTCTTGGGTGTCCAATTTCAGAACGGCGCTAAATCATCAGCCAAATTCCCATCACCACAGGTGCGCGTTGGAGACCAGCAATGTCCAATTTTTCTAAATTTCGTACCTCTGTCTGATTCAATGAATAAGAATGCTATTGGACATTGTTGCCTATAAAATCTGGTATTAGAAGCTCTTGGAGCCGGGAGTTCACAAATATTATAATAATCTTAAAAATGGAATCCGAAGATCGACAGAAACTATCCTGATTCTTGATGTGGTCTTTATTATGACCAACTGATTTGCGCTAAGAACTCAAGCATTTTATGATTCACCGACCACCATCATTTTTAATAAGCTTCATATCGACGAACATGGTTGAACACAAATCCTCAACTTTGTCAAACCTTGCAGACAGGCACATTTCTTAAACGATTAGCACGGTAACATGGAAATGATCAGACCTCATAGGAGTTAGTTAGTTTAGTGGCCACATGTTTACTAGCGCTTCAGCTATTTAGCTATCTCGCACCGAAAGTCATGTGGAACATCACTAAAGAGGTGGAAGGTCTCAATTATCAAAAGTTTCTCAAATCAAAAATAGGTCATCACCCACAAGGGGTGGAAGGTCTCAGATGTCCAGCCCGCTGAAACTGGCTCGAAAGAAGCAGCGTTAGCATCTCAAAGAGACGAAGTGACAAGGAGGGACAGGTGAAAAGCTACAGAAACGAAGACACTCGAACAAGAGGTCGTTTACACGGGACGTCGGCCACCCGCACGAGAGAGACGGAGAAGGGAAATGTAAAGAATCCTACCTACATAATAACTTAACCCCAAACCTGAGACCTGCAGTCAGACACCGCGAGCTCAGCGGTGGGGTGCTCAAGAACAATCCCCTAGGAGCGCGAGATCCCATTGGACTTCGGACGAGCACAGACACGAGTTAGAAGTCCTCCCTGAGGGGAGATCTCATAGGATACGTGAAATATTTCGTAAAATATCTCTTGGCTTAATCGATTGCCGCGTGGACAATATTGGCTATTAAATGCTATCATCAACATAACAATGAGCAGGATAATAGCATAATAAGGTGTAAAAACTCATTGGTATGTAACTAAAATTTCGAAAGATAAAAAAATTAGGAAAGATTTATCAATTTGTACTATGCGATACAGAGATCGAACAGAACAGCATCAAAAACATAGGAGATAGCGAAAAGATTTTAAAATAACGTACCACGCCAGGAAAAAAACTTAGAAATTATAAGTCGAAATTTAGAATCGTGAAGCTAAAAAAGTAGACAAGGTAATTATTATCCAACAGTCGGAAGAAAAATCAATTGAGGGCTTTAGCAGTCTCGTTGGCTGGCACTGCACGCCTATATGATACAATGATGATAATTTACACGAGATTTGGGTCGACGAGCAGAGATAGGGATTTTCCGAATGAAACTGGTAACTCCGTCACAATGCAGAATTTGCCATGAATCAATTAGCGTTTATGTACAAGCGACGCTTCTAGAAAAAAAAATACTTGGGAGACTTGACAGAATCGTTGTTACTTTTCTGATACAGCCAACCGTGCATCTCAAAATCGTCTGAACTGAAGTGTGGACGTTATTATACATACTTAATATATACAAATATACCTACGCACCAAGAAAAGAGAACGCAAAATTTCAGGTTTGTAATATTAAAGATAAATTTTTTTAAAGTTGTAATGCATACATAGCCTTAACAGTCAGAAAACAAAGTGAAATTGACAGACAGCACTGGACAAGATGATAAAACGGTAAAGATATTCCAGAAATATACGATTAATTATAAGATACTAATGATATTTTTCGGGATTTTCTTTTTTGAAGTTGGCTTAAAACCTCATTTTGAACAACGATTTTTTATTCTTTTCATCTCTCATTGGAAAAGTATGCAACTCCAAAGGGCTTACTTGCCTCGTTTGAGTAGCGTAGCTGGATCTCATGCACTAAACTCGGTCCTTTGCCCACAAGCAAGTTTCTAAATTGCAAAGGTAGTCCACTGACTATTGCGCTCACGACGTTCGTGTCAATCATGCATACCGCGTTCAGAATATCCCCACAGTAAGTTACAACACCGTTCAGAATATCCCCAGTAAGTTACTGAACACCGTTCAGAATATCCCCACAGTAAGTTACAACACCGTTCAGAATATCCCCAGTAAGTTACTGAATACCGCTCAGAATATCCCCAGTAAGTTACTGAATACCGCTCAGAATATTCCCAGTAAGTTACTAAATACCGCTCAGAATATTCCCAGTAAGTTACTAAATACTGCTCAGAATATCCCCAGCAAGCCACTGAATACCGCGTTTAGAATATTTCCAATACTGTAAACCCCTGAATACCGCTCAGAATATCCCCAGTAAGACACTGAATACCGCTCAGAATATCCCCAGTAAGACAATGAATACCGCGCTCAGAATATCCCCAGTACGCCATTAAATATCGCGCTCAGGACGACCGCTTCTTTCCACTCCTGAGATGTGCTGCAGTCTTTTCGAAAGGTATGATGCTGAGGCGCGCACTCGACCGCTTTTGAATCTTGCCAGACGAGTTTTGCTTGGCACCACGCGTAACTTTCCGACCAGCAGACGTCTTCGACGATGCACTTGCGCTAGCCGATTCATCTTTGGTCCCAAAAACAGCTAGTTTAATCCCAGAACGGTCTTGTGGACCTTCGCACAAAGGATCATCTTTGTTCTGTTCGGGCAAAACGAATTTCTTGTGCGTTGGTGATTTCGCGTCGTCAGATGCGAGGGAGTCAGTACATTCAACTGGATCGGATGAAGATTTATTCAATACATCAGAACCATCCTGAACTTGTGCAGCAACTTTTTGACAAGAAGTCTCATCCGATCCAGAAGGACTTTCAACAAGTATCGGCGCATCAGTTGACTTTGCGTTTGCTCGTTCAGTAGAATGAAAAACATTATCATCCTCACCCGTTCCTGAAACTCGCGCAGATTTAAGATTATGCACAGCTGTTGAGGCATCTATGAGTAGGTCACAAGTAATCGTGGTCGACGAACTTGTAACGATGGGAAGGCTGGCAGGTGGTCTTTTCAGTTCAAGTTCGCTCGCTTCATCTGATTTAAGCGTATTAGTTGAAGCCACAACATCGTGAAGGGAAACTTTAGTAGGTATTTGACCTGCATTTTGCTTGATTTTCTTCGTAATAGATCCTGGTGATAGGAGAGATGCATGGAGCTTCCCAGGTGATTCTTCAACGCTCGATGCCCCAGCACTAGAAACTGACGACTTGCGCTTCTCCCTACTTGCAGCAACCATTATTTGGCCCCTGGTAGGCAATGCACTAGGATCGTTAATCAAAATTTTTACCGGGACTTTCGCGTCAGATTCTGCTTGGCTCGCAGGCGAAAAAGAAACTTGCTTATTAGTAGGCGTACTGCTGTCGATCTTCCCAAGCATAGAATCAGAACTCATAGCACGGAGAGTTAATTTGTCCGGTTTGGCAATGTGAACTTTGTTGCTAATAGTGCATTGTTTTGGACGAAACGCTTCGTTAGCAGACACAACGCGCACAGTAGGGCTGCGAATACGATGGGACCCACGAGTCTCATTGACGTTCGATGAATCTTTCACAGAATCCAAAGTAGTATCCAGTTCCGCGATGTTTCTTGTCCTTTTTTCGACTTCTTCCGATTTATTAGAAGTAGCTACAAATTCCGCAAATGTGTCCCTGTTGGTCTTTTGACGGCTTTGGGAAGAGACCGAATTGTGAGCAGGTTGGGCAGCTTCAGACGCACCAACAGTCATCAAGGAAGGAGAAGTTAATGTTACCATAGATGCTGACACTAACATCATTACAGGATCTTTTGCGTTGATGCTTGACGAGATTTGAGTGGGAGGCTTTGAGTCAACTTGGGCAGGTGCGGAGCTTGAAGATGTTCCTTGCGCGGGCGGCACTGGAGTGATGGGGCTTGCACTGGAAGAAGCGATAGTTATTTTGTTAGTGTTCAGTATAGAGTGTTGTCCGGATGTCAACTTAAGAGAAGCCGTCGTAGGACGCACAGTCAGTTTAGTGATGTTCTTCCCATCGATAGTACCCAACGATGAGCGTCCAGGTCTTAGGATGGTTGTGCCCTTGCCGGGCTGCGTCGACACGATGATCTGAGATTGTGTTCCAGGTGGACAAATCGAAAATTTTGAAGAACTCGTTGAAGATGATAGAATTTTTATCTGAGAACAACTTGACTTAGATAAGGTGATTTTACTTTTATCCTTGAGAGGAAAAGTACTTGTCTGAACAGATAAACCAGATGAGCTCTCACCAACAATTTCTACGTCACTTGAGCTATCCGATTCGTGGCTACCTTTCTTAAAATTTGGCTTACAGTTGACCAAGATCAACTTCTGCTGAGCAATGGTTGATCCAGCCGTACTTGATATATGATCTGTGCTTGAAGATTCAACAACAGCAGGCAAGTTAACTTGCATGGGAGAATCAAGGTTTCCCATTGCAGGCGACGATTGCAGAAGGTAGGATGACGAAGAGGCGTCATTTGTCTCATTTACAGCAGCTATGGCCCCACCAGTCACAGAAGCCTCCCCCGAAGTAGACGCTATTGTTACCTTATTTGTTGGGAAAATACCACTTGACTGGGCATCACTGCCCATCACGGGGGACTGAAGTGTGGAAGATGCTGGAGATGTCTGTTCTTTTTCTTTACTGATGCTTCTAACTTCTTTCCGGCAATGAAGTTTGTTAGTGTCGATTTTAGGTACTTCTTCTAGGGAAACTTCGATGAATTGACCCGCATCCAAGTTTTCATTAATTTGGTTCTCGTCACCATCTTTATTCGTATCTGCACCAGCCTCATAATTGTGTTCAGCACTTGCGAGATTATTTGTTTCTAGGGAGAACTCAGCATCCTGGTTCTGCGTCAATTTTTGGCTTATTTCGGAAGCTGCAGAAGCCAATAGATCGAGCTTTTCGGTCGAGGAGGAAGAAGAGTCAAGAGGCAAAATACTATCTTGAGGATTAAGCATTACAGGTGGAATAACAATCGAAGATGGAACAGGCTCGAGGCTTGATGTTTGTGTCTGTGGAGAAATGTTAGCCAGGACGGATACAGACGGCGCCGGAGTGAGAGTAGATTCAGAAGCAGCGACTGTTACAGCCAAAGTAAGAGAAGCGCCGGCAGCCGAACTATGCGCTGCACTTCCCAAAATGAGTGACGGCGTCGGAGAAGAAACGGTCATCATTCCGCTCAAGGATCCTTGTACTGTCATCTCACTTTGGACACTGGGTTTTAATATTTGAAACGTGCCTATGGTCTCAGGCGAAGCTACTTTAGCTACGATGTTCTGCTTCTTCACGACCAAGGGCTTATAATAAAATTGCGAAGGCTTCTGAGAAGACACCATTATCTTAGTATGACTAGACTGGGGATTGTCAGCAACCTTGAGCACTTGCTGAGACTTTTGTGGCAAAATCTTTATGGTTTGTTCCGAGACTTTCGGCAGTCCGAGAAGAAGTTGCTTGACCCCAACAGGTGTCTGAGTCTGGGATTTGTTAATGTTCTTGCTTGTATCAATGCAGACAACGGTCGACGGGCTAGGGCTTGTGCAAGTACTTGCATCCATCGTAAGAGGTAAAGATAAAGCAACTGAAGTGGCAGCTTTCGATCCAGACACAGGCACGGTAGTGAAGGCGATATTGCTGTTGCTTTTTGCAGCTCCCGTGGATGATGCGATAATTGAAGCCGAGATGGCATCTGCGGTACTGTTTGTGCCTGCACCGACAGTGATTAGGTTCCGTTGAGTGGGTCCCGACCCTCTACCAACACCAGCAGCAAGGGTGCGTGCTTGAACGATACCCCCTCTTGTCATGGACCCTCTAACTCCACCTCTGGTTGTGACGAACCTGGCTCCTGATAAAATGCTAGGGACACTCTGAAGCATGCCGCTAACCACAGAATCTGCCGAACTTATGCTTACGCGACCACCTCGCAGAGTGCCAATGATCTGTGGGACAAGATGGCTTTGAGATTCCATGGCACCTGTCTGGTTAGCAATTGAAGTTGATCCCCCTTTCTGAGTGGCAACGAAACTAGTCACAGGCTTCTGAGCAGCAATGAGGGCTTTTTGAACAGAGGTAGGCGAGGGCAAAACTTTCGTCCCAGTGATAAAAGTAGAGCTTGAAGATTTTGGACTTGAAACAAAGGTGGCATTAGGCTTTTGATTGGCAAAGAGGGAGGGTAAGGATTTTTGGTTGGTAAGTATAACAGGAGCAGTCAAGCGCGGCGAAGAATAAGCCAATGTGGGGCGGATCAGCTTCTTTATGGGAGCCAAGGACGAGACAACAGAAGGCGAAGAAGATACGATCAACGATGGCATGTTGGATGATGCAGAGGAGAGAGTGTTCGGCAAAATAATTCTGTTGTTGGACAGTACCCCACCAACCGAAGTCTGGAATATAATTGGTTTCTTGTTGATTGGAGTACAGAGAGCAGAACTTGCACCCGAATTCTTCCTACGATCGCCAACACTGCTCATAATGCTTGGAATGCTCTTGCGTTTGTCAGCCAGCGACCCACTGCTTAAGCCCATAACACTTGCTAGTGTGAGGTCACTACCTCCAATTTTGGCTGTGGAAGAAATGCTCCCAATGCTACCAACGACAAAGGCAGAAGTTACAGACGACAAAGATCCTTGAGGATGCAGCACATAATGTACTTGATGCGGTTGCTGACTGGTATCTACAATCTCAAACGCTTGGGAAGTGAGGGCTTGTGGAGTGAGGCTCCTTACAACGTTGCAAGTGGAAACTGTTGTAATTTTGCTAGGCACATGAACTTCAGGCGGCGACTGAGGAGTGATGGAAGCAACGGCCGCCAGCAGCTGGGCTTCGCTTTTGGCCGCTAATGCCACTTGCTCTTTGATGGACTTGGCGGACTGTTCCTTCACGAGACCAGTTCTTGCGTTAAGTTTGTTAGACGATTGCGGTGACAGTAACATGACTTCACTGTCAGGGACGGATGATGAAGACGTGCTGACGTATGGAGGACGACCAGGTAACGTGCCCCTGGCTATACCACGACCTGACAGCGCCGAGAGACGGCGACCTGCGTGAACACAAATTAATTAAGCTTAAAAAAACACGAGACATTTTTGCGAACAATGGATGCAAAATCTAATGATTCATTTAATACATGTGGACTGATACATTCCTTCATTTGATGCATATGGACTACAGATAAAATCATTTGATACGCATTGAGTGAGCCGTGCAGAGTCTTGAGAGAGTCGTACATGGCTTTGACTGAGCCGTACAAAGGTTTGAATGATCCTTTAGAGGTACTGATTGTGCAGCATGAGGCTTTGAGTCAAGCGAGGCCATAGGTTAGCCTCTAAGAGGCCTAGTCAATACAACGTGCCAGAACGAGCGCCAAGAACCACGAACCAGCAGACTTGAGGTGCGCCTGTGCAGCGACCCCCACGCCGCCCCCCAAGGCAATTAGCTGCCCCGGCAGGGGGGCACGAGAGCCCCGTCCTCGACCGCGACCTGCGCGGCGCCCCCGACGCCCCGCGCTGCCCCGCACACCTGCTGCCCCTGCAGCACCAGAACCGCTCCACACGCTCTCCTGAAGGAGGTAGCATGTTAGGCTAGCTGTGGTAGGATGTTAGGCTCGCTGTGGTAGGATGTTAGGCTTGCTGTGGTAACATGTTAGGCTTGCTGTGTTAGCATGTTAGGCTTGCTGTGGTAGCATGTTAGGCTTGCTGTAGTAGGATGTTAGGCTAGCTGTGGTGGCATGTTAGGATTGCTGTGGTGGCATGTTAGGCTTGCTGTGGTAGCATGTTAGGCTAGCTGTGGTGGCATGTTAGGGTTGCTGTGGTGGCATGTTAGGCTTGCTGTAGTAGCATGTTAGGCTTGCTGTGGTAGGATGTTAGGCTTGCTATGGTAGGATGTTAGGCTTGCTGTAGTAGCATGTTAGGCTTGCTGTGGTAGGATGTTAGGCTTGCTATGGTAGGATGTTAGGCTTGCTGTGGTAGCATGTTAGGCTTGATGTGGTAGCATGTTAGGCTTGCTGTGATTGCATGTCATAAGGAGATTGCTGAGGTAGCAGAAGAGAAGGTTCATGTGATAGCCTCCGACTGCCAGCAGTCTCACCTCGCGCTGAGGAAAGACAGCAGGCGAGCTGGGCTGGTGTGGAGACGCTGTGACTGATGAGGAGCAATGGAAAGCGCTGCTTGCATTGCTGACCAAAGCCTGTTGATAAGAAGCATGAGAACATTGAGAAGCGACTGGTTGCCGGCTCTAAAGTAGAAACCAAGCCTCAATAATTACATATTTTTGCATTGCTGACCAAAGCCTGTTGATAAAAAGCATGAGAAGCGACTGGTTGCTGGCTCTAAAGTAGAAATCAAGCCTCAATAATTACATATTTTCAGCATTAATACACATTATTTCAGAACCATAATTTATTAACAATAAAAATTGACAAGATGATGCTGAAAACAAACAACGGCTAAGGATAAAGGTAGCGCTTGTATGCAATATAAATATGACAAGTGAATACATGATCTATAAAATTCGAATCAATTCAGCACTTATTACAGTTATTAGAGACACAAAAACAATATTTTTGATCTTGTGGTTATTTTTTTTATTTGCACATGCAACTGCAAATGCATTTTTTACCCAACAATGAATGAAACAAACTCACCATAGAGACGGCAGGCACGCTAAGACCAAGAAGACCATCAGCAGCAGAAACAGCTTGCTCTGTAAATAATTAATCATATAATAACAACATGGGCACAGATCATGCCCATGCCCGAGAGATCGAGATCATGCCCGAGCTGTATAACAGCGCTCTCTAGCATAATATTTAATTGAATCCTAATCATAAGTAATGTTTAGTGCAGTAACTAGATTAGATAACACTAAGTTAGTGCACTGAGCTATCTTGTATGCATGGCCTTAGAAGAAAAACTCATCCTTACTTGAGCGTTAGATAAATTACAAATATTAAATCCCGAAGAAAAATATTATTGTGACTTAAATCACTTAATCGTCTCTAAATAAAAAATGTAGATTTCCTTTCATAAAAAATGAATGCACAGCAATAAAATTTGTAGGCTTAGAAAATAAGAGCGAATATTTAACTAAAACACCAGAGTAGCAGAACAGGAGCCAAAAGGGAAAGATGATAGTCTCAAAACAAGGACTGAATAAATCCCATAATAAGGACGAGTGACTAATAATGCAAATTATGAATTAGGACCTAGTCATAGTTACTAATACGTCTTCACACTAAGGACCAAATCATAGTTACTAACACGTTTTCACACTAAGGACCAAGTCATAGTTACTAACACGTCTTCACACTAAGGACCAAGTCATAGTTACTAACACGTCTTCACACTAAGGACCAAGTCATAGTTACTAACACGTCTTCACACTCAGGACCAAGTCATAGTTACTAACACGTCTTCACACTAAGGACCAAGTCATAGTTACTAACACGTCTTCACACTAAGGACCAATGTTTTAGTAACTTACGCGTTTTTACAGCCGCGACGTCAGGTGAAGCTCCCGCGCCCTCCATCGTCTGCGGGTCAGTGGGCGCGCCTGCACAAATTAACAGAATGCAGTCGAGAACACAAAAGCCTAACTCGACATTGGCCTATGTAGGAAATCAATCAAACTAAAATTCAAAACAAACCAAGGAATTACGCAGGATAACAGCAGTGAGGATACTCCGTCCTAATTACTATGAAAACCTGTAAACAAATATAAATAACCTGTTTGATATTTTTTAGGTGAAGATGGCAACGAAGCGTGTGTAGAAATATCGTCGGGCATCTTGCGTTTATTGCTCAAGGGTTCAGTATTGAAGGCATCACTTAATTTGGCCTCCTTGGCCAGACTGGTGTTGTGGGCAACCGAGGCCGCAGCAGCAGCCGCCTCTCTGATGCCAGCTGGCACGTCCTCCACAACCGGCATGAGACTCTTCAAGAATGTAGCCATTTCGTCCTACAAAGAAACCGTTTCGCCCATCATAATAGTTTGCAAATATTTGTTTGTAAAAACGCAAAAATCATGTGATGTGTCTGCCATATTCTAAAACAACAATAACTTTGCCCAATTTTTCGTGAACAATCTGATGCGATTTCAAATTCCACTTTACCGTAATATAAAACAGCATGTCACAAGTAGAACGCCAACAAAAATAAATAGTTGGAAATGACATGTCAGTACTAGTGAAAAAATAAGAAACTATGTAATTCTAGAACATTTGATTAAAATGCTGAATAGCTATTTTCATCGCTGTAGAAATTGAATAGCTCATTTTGGCTCATAAACCATGCTGACGCTTACAGTGCAATCACACAAATATCATTGCCCCGGGATGCCATAGAACCGAAATACATCTCAGTACACAAGCAAGTGGCGCTGGCACCGACCACAATGCAGCGGTCCACCAGGGAGTGCGTGAGGGCAGCGACGCGGCGATGGTTGTGCTGCAGGCGCAGTTTGTTGTCTGCCCCACACAGCACCACGAGCCGGGCATCGCTCACGCGCTCGCGTAGCTCCTCCAGCGCCTGCATGCTGCACACAAACACATAATCCTGCTTATGCATGTACAGCAGCCCAATGAGCGCTCTCTCACTTTAGTGTCGCGATTATTTCTCACAAAAAATAATCAAGTTGCACTGATCATATTTCCCACTAGTTATCACATATTCCCTACTAATTAATGGGTGGAAGGGTATTCAAAGTTACAGATGCATCCGCCCAAATAGTAACCCCTTACTTGGAATTCTGAGCGCGGTCGCCAACTACGAGCAAGATGGGGCAGCGGACGGCACTGAGGATGCCAGCTGTGGTCACGCGCTTCTCCCCAACACTTAGGAACACGGCGGCCTTGTCATCGCTATTGGACACGTCCGCGGCAGGATCGGAGGACTTCTTACTATTGCTGAGGTCGCCTCTGTAGTCAGCAGGTCCCGAGAATGGTGGAGACAAACACACCACGCCCGAAATTGAGGAGTCCAAAGCAGCGATCTGAGCAAAGCATTAATTATGAACGGTTTCAGAAGCCACGAAAAACGAAAGGAATTTAACGAGTACGGGGCAATTTAGATTGAATCGTTTCAACTCCCATTACCCGATGACGCCACAGTTCACACGAGATATTATTTTAACACAATAGTAAGAAGATTGCACATATCTAGCCACGTACAGTGAGGACATCAAAGTATCACCTGAGCAGCAAGGAGGGCACCAGCCCCCCACCCCGCCAGCACGATGGGACGCAGGGACGCTCGCCACTCCCTCAGCTTAGTCAGCACCGCAACCACTGTCCGCTCCAGCCACTCGCTCACGCTCCCGTCTGATGGTATATAAACCTATAAATAAGTTTCAATGTCCTACATTTCTCTACTGACATCAACCATAAGTGCAGGTGGCAAATTGGTAGATGGAAAAATTATAACAGGCTGCCAACTTCTAATCCACGAAATAAATAATGCTTGTTTTTCAAGTATTTGCTAATGTAAAATTACAATATCAACACAAAATCTAATAAATTCGTAATATTTAAGGCGGAGTTTCTTCCATATATGTAACTTTTCGTATAGTTCCATAATATCACAATGCTAATTACAATTCTGCCACTTGTTCCTCGTTATCACCTCAAAGGCAGCTCAAAATGTATGCATTATCTTAGCAAGTCACACGAATACAAAAATTTGCAACGGTGCGTGATGTGAAAGGAAGAGTTTCGAGTGAGGGGCTTAAATTAGAAAGTTGTCTCCATGAAGCATAACCAGCTCAGCATGAACGGCGATGGTGAGGGTGGTGGTGACACACTGCACCTAGCAGCTCACCTGGCGCAGCATGAACGGTGATGGTGAGGGTGGTGGTGACACACTGTACCTAGCAGCTCACCTGGCGCGGCATGAACGGTGATGGTGAGGGTGGTGGTGACACGTCTCAATGTCGACGCAAAGTTTTTATGTCGGCGGACATCAGCAGCGCAGAGTTGCGGGCAGTGCGGCACCAGCAACACCACCGGACTGTCTGAGCCCAGCGGCCGCTGAGGAGGTATCGAATTCTTCCTTAATCTAACATCATTATATAGAATAACATGCATCATATTTGATTGTTTTCACCTCAAATTTTTGTTAGTCGGTGCATTATAATGAATCCTATTGATCTGTCACGCCGTATACGTTTTTAGATGAGAATTATAATATACAGTCTTGCAAAAAAAAAAGCAAGACAGAACACATTCAATTTAATATAATTTTGTGATGACAATTAACATTCTCTTTCAGCCATTGCATTAACAGAGGCATATATGCGAGAATTACAAAGAACAAGTAAGGTAACATTGGAATTAGTTTGCTACTAACAGGTTTGTTTGAATGTAGGATGGGCATTGCAGGATCCCACGGCCGCTTAAGCAGGAGGTTAAGCCCCAGACTTGATATGGACCCGCCAAAGCTGTTGTTCTTGGCGTCATAAACACCAGCACCAGCAGCAGCAGAACTCGTACCCTCCACACCAGGGCCGTTACTTGCATCGTGTCCTGATAGTCCCACTGCAGCGATACTTGAAGACATAACTCCCCCGTTATCATCGTTACTGGGGGCACCTGCAGGTGCCGTGGTGTGAGGGAACCCAGCACCAAGAGCTGAACTGCTGCTAGAGTTTAATGTTGACGCAGTCGTCCCCTTAGTGCTGCTGGAGGGGAGCTTACTGCTTGGTGCTATCAGTTTGTCCATCAGAGTTGGCACGGCGTAATGAAGACTCTGATGTATTGAAAATGCATTCCAGTATTAGAATGTTTCAGCAAGACATAATAAAATATAGGATTATTATTTAGAAACAAAAACAATTTTCAAGCCAGTCCCTGTGAATAATCTTAGGCAAGCATCATCCAGGTGCTGCAGTACTGTATATATACGATCTGCTTTCACTAAGCAAATGTGATCATTATGTATAATTTGATTTTATACTAAGATCTACAAGACGATTATTGATTAGATCATTTGAGAGAGTACTCTTTACACCAGAACATTTATGAATATAAAAGAGAAATACCTAACAAAAATTCATAAAATTTCAACTTGGTTGAATAATTGGAGTTCCATTGTGCCTGATCACAGAAGAACGATGATTACCATAGAAATTATTTTATTTTCTCCAAACCACAAATAGTAAACAACATTAATAACAACCATAAAGCCACAAGTTTATGTATTGGAGCTGGAGACTTGCCTGTAGGATGTCAAGATAAGCGATGAGGTAAGGAGAAGTGAGGCTGTGCAGCAAGGAGCTGTGCAGCCACTGGCACAGCGACATCTCCCACCGACACTCGCCTGACAGCAACCGCCGAAATTTGCTTGCTGATCTGGAGACAATGTAACTTTCACAAGAGCAGACGACTTCTCACAAGATTTAGACATTGTAAAGAAAAAAATAAAGGTTAGGAACAATAAAATAGGTTACCTGATTGCTCCCATCAGGTGCGTTAGAAAGCTTCTGACGGCAATTTAGTACGCCTCTTCGAGACAATTTTCAGACAGAACTCATCCCCTGGCAAAATGCAGGCCAAAGCTACTTCAGACAATCACTTTCCAACGTATATACTTTGAGTGCAGGGAGAAATTGTTACTCTTCTTCATTTGGCACTATATTAACCTTCATGTTTTTATTCATGTTCATTTTTAAGTACCTACTTCATCTCTTTTGTCACCACAGCACCCCTCCAGCATCACATTCATCGGTGCATCACCAACCGCAGCCATCGTTACCATATATAGATAGTCTTCGTTTCACACGATAATTTAAGCATGATTTAAACTGAACCGGACCTGAGCCCTTTGACTCACCTGTCTAGCAGGGCGCGGCGCCTGGCAGGCTCGTGCTTGACTCCTGAACACGCCAGCCTCGCCAGCCGCTCGCCGTCTAAGATGGCAACCGCTCTGTCGAACACACGTTCTTGCTGCGCCGTCCATTTGTCCCTGACACACGCAACTCAAGTAAGCTACTTAGTATATCTTATGGCAGTTCATGAAGGAACCTGCTACATGAGAAGGCAGAAATAAAGTACACAGAATTGTATAACCACACATTCCTAAAATACAGGCTTGCACTTAACTGAAGTCAGCGGGTGGTAGTGATTACACTAAATACAAACTTTAAAAATTAATTTTACAAAGCCAGATTTTTACATTGTAACGTTCTTGCACAGTTGCACTAGACTAGAGTTCACTAGAGTTTCAGTATGGAGAGACTTATTTACATTGCAGCATGAACTTTTTGAGAACAAATAGCCACAAATAGGTTACTATACCCAAAAGAAAATTATAGCAAAGAAACAAAATCAGTGATTACATATGTGTTGCAAGTAGTGAAGAATTTTAAACCACCAACAACCCAAAAGCAGCAACAAATGTTCACCCACTTGCACAAGTTGATGTCAGGTTTGTGTGCTGCAGCCTCCTCCTCTTCATCAGCCCCACTCACTGCACCACAAGGACCTTCTGTCAAATGAATCGCAGACAATTACCTACTAAGAATGCAGAGTAATCTGTCTTACACCACAGTGTATAGTACTGAGGTGAAATACAAAATAACCAAAATATTACACTTATCAAAAAGTAACAAGAAGTTAGAAAATATATTATATCACATCCCAAAACATATGCCATCAACACATTGATTTATTAAACTGCTTTCCCACATTAAAAACTTTTCACATGATTGATACGCACCAATCTTGAAACTAAATTTTCTTTCTGTATCTAACCATCAGCAATAAAAAAAATGCCCCGATGTGGAATAGTAGTCACTTTCATCCCTATTGCGCCTTTATGAGCATTAATCTATTATCCAACCTAGTGAATAACATTGCTCATTACTTTAAATTATATAAGTATATAATTATTTCAGTGCATTACAAAATTCTTCTCAGCCAAATTTTGTTCATCAGTGCAGGCTTTATAATCAATTGGTTCATCAGTCCACTATTTTAAAACATCAAAAATAATTTAGCATCAACCATGTACTTATCTTGCAAGGAAAATATAGCAGGTTCCTATTGCATACAAAGAACTTAAAGTCAACAATTATTGCTCAAGCTTGCAGACACACTAGATTGGATATAGCAACAAGTTAATAGAAACTAACCTCGTTCAGAAGCTTGTTTTTCAGCAGCAGCTGCAGTATCATTGCCAGCAAAATCCATGTGTCGCTCACACTCGTACATGAGTTTGCAGGCAAGCTCTTCATTGTAGGGAGGGTCAGGTGCACCATCGTCCCAGTCCCCTTCAATGTCCAAAACCCTACAACAAAGTAAATAAGATTATTAATTCAGTGCTTTCCACAGTATTTTTTGGAATGAACATTAAGTGACCTTTAACAAATAATGTCATAAAAATCATGTTTTAAACAGAGGGTATGTTTTGTATATGAATACAAATCTGGAAATTTTTACTTGTAGGTATGTAATTCAGAATTTCAAGTGTACATCCAATGCAGTTCTATCTATGAAATATATAGATACATAAAAAAATTAACTGACAAAATTGGAATCTACACAAAAATAATTTGAAATCTATGGTATGTATAGCCTGGAAATTATCAAAATTAATTATAATAAACTCACTGATCCTCAGAAGTATCTCTAGAAGAAACATGACTGAATTTACTCTCAGAACTGCCTTGAGGAGCAAATAACTTGACAATTGGTGTGTTATTGGTAGCTGAAGATTTCTGCTGTGGATCGGAACTCCAGTGGTGAGAGTAGTCGTGGTCTGACTGGATCACTGACACTATGTAACTCTGGAAGCATTACAAAGATTAGAAGGGAAAAATATGCTGCACATAAATAGCTATAAGAGTATATTGTTACAATCATATTTTTAGAATGTCTATTACAATATATTTAAAAATTGATGTTACTTAAAATAATGTGACTAACCTCAACTGCAGGGTCTCTGTTGGCTCTGAAGATTGCTGCAAAGCTGTCTATTTTTCCTTCAGAAACTGAAACTTTATCTAAACAAGGCCAGTCACCATCCGAGATGAAACTCCTGTCGCTCGGTGCTAAGCATACAGACTTATCACTAGCAACTCCTGCCTCCTGGAGCAACTCCCGCCTCAGCTGGTAATTTAAATCCACTTCTATTCCTGCCATCACAAGCTAACTTCATTCATGATGTTTAAGCCTAGATCAAAACACTAGAATAAAGTAAAAGGTCCATGAAAACATCAATTATTTTAGTTGAGTATATTAAATCTTATCATACATTCATATCATTATCATCATTGAATAAATCATGCATATTTTTGCCAATGAGACTACTGTAATTTTACGAAGAAATCTTTAAACTCCCCCCACTTCTTGCATTCCAGGAAGAGCAAACTAATACATATGTTGAACAAGAAATTCTGGAATAAAAAGCAAACCAAAATCAAATAGGTTAAAGAAACTACCCCTAAGTGCTTCAGAGATGAAAGCTTCTATTTGACATGTGTTGCAGATGTGCATTTTCCATTGTAGTTGTAGTTTTTGATTGCTTCATAGGTTCAGAGTTGGCATCCTAGATTTAAATTGGCATTGAATTTAAAATCACATGGCATTAAATTTAAAATCCATGGTTCTATGGCCTTGATTCCACAAGAATTGCATACTAGTCATGACTTCAAAATCAGCACTTCCATAACAACAGATTCTTCAGATGCTGGTTTTTATGTTTCTTTCACATCAAGAGACAGGCCACTATAGATAATCAGACAGAAGCCATCCGTGAATGAGACTGAACCACTGGTGAATGTGGTCAATTTTGCAATTTCTATGGCCCTTTCCCAATTTTATTTGTAATAATATGCATTTAAACATTACCTTTTAAAGACAACACTTCTAAAAAATCCAATGTCTCCGATGTTACACATGTACGTACAATGAATTTCTAGTTTTATTATCAAATAGGTACCATTATTAAAAAAATTAATTCTTAAATTTTATTCATTGCCTCCGAATTTACGCAAGTGTGCAAAATTTAAGATCAATTTGACAGGTAGAAGTGTGTTAAATATCAATTATAAGATTTGTAGGCTGTAGCAGGCAAAAAAAAAATTTTTTCCATTTTTTCAATATCAAAAATTATTTTTTTTTTAAATTATTTATTCTGTCAATTGATTCATGCATTGACTCCAACTTTATGCCAGTGTTCAAATTTTCAGACCGATTGGACAGGTGTGTTAAATATCGATTACATAAGATTTGCAGCCAACAGACAAACAAACAATAAGAAGTGAAGTTAAAGAGAAGTGTTGTAATAAAAAATTTTATAAACTGCATATTTCTGCCTGAATATTTCAAAAAGGATTCTTAAAACAATTGTTTTTTTCATAATTCTGAGAAAATTCTGCAAAACATACAAAATTGGGAGACAGGCGGCCTAAACAAATTTTCTTAGTACCTGCTTAACTGCAAAAATGACAGACTACTAGTATAGGAATAAGTATCATGAATACCAGCATGAACTCAGGCTTGGAATACATCTACCTTCTGCATCACAACCAGTTTCCCCAATCATTTCTGGAGCCATGAGATTCCCAATAGAATAGATCTACCTAAAAATTAAGAAAATTACAAAATAAGAGAGTGAAATTCTAAATTTATTTCGAATTGAAAACATATCACTTTGTAGCCTTGGAACTTTTTTAATGGGTCAGAAAATTAGGAGTAGGGAATGTGAAATTAACTAGTTCTAAAAATTCTCCCATTTTGAGCCGTGAGATTTCATTATAGTGAGAAGAGGGAAATTCCAATCTTCAATGTTGTGGTGCTTACCACAAAATTGGAAATGTAAGATTTGATTTTGTTGTAGTTTTGGAGTTTGTGGTGTCTGATTGTGATTTATGCTAGATATTTTGGTAGACCAATATTTATTTGTGAGCTCTCAATTTTGAGTGCAACCTGTTTTCATAGCTAGTTTAACACCCACAGCTCTTCTTTGTGTTTATTTGACATTGCATGTGACATTAATAAATTTGATAGTCAACTTTTGGAAAATTAGAGAATTTGAGTGAAATAAAGGAATAATTAGTGTAAATCAGTATTCAGTATTGTATCCTTGACTTACAAGTTATTATATCAAGATCTTTATGAGTCACATCAAGCAGAAGAGTTTTACTTGTCATGAACACTGGAATTGCAAACTGAGGTTTGGTAGATCCTGCTAAACAATTCAAGATTCAACAGGAAATATCCTACTGGATAGTTAACACGTTGGCCGCGATGTGCGCCATATATGTACACGCTGTATATAGTCAGATGGGGTAAGACAGGACCGAAATCACTAACAAGCATGTAGCATCTATACCATGAATAAATAAAAAACCCTAAACCTATCACAAGGTGTAGTTATGCAATGGGCTTCTAAGCTACAACTCAGACTTTCTGCATACAACATAGTTTTCTGTACAGATTAAAAAAAGTGAGCTAGTCCCATCTTACCCCA